CAAGTGGGTTTATTAATTAATGTATTGTAAAATTATTTTGTGGGGTATCAATTTTCATACATATTTTGAGTACTCTTAATCCAGGAATGTCCATGAACTGTAAAAATAAAAACCACGAAAATTTAGTCCCACTTAAAGATTTGATTTTACAGTTACATTATGTAAGCAAAAATATGAGATTAAAATGGACTTGATCATGATGATTGAGATTCAGGGAATTTCAAGTATGGACTGTGTAATAGGTCATTGTCAAATTCATGTGTCAGTGACACAAACCAAATTTGGGATAACTAGATATAGGAATACTCCATTCAAACAAAAATATTTTAATTCATTACTTTAATTCAGATGGAGAGTCATAACTTTGCTAGCAGCCATTGTTTAAAAACACAAGCTTTGATATATTTTATCATGTAGGTATGGTGAGTAACATATTGTAACTGTTTATGTTGTAGGGTGTACCAGTTTATTAATCATCAAGGAAGTCTCCTATCAGTACACTATAAGTCTTTACAATGAAATGATCAGCAAGTTTATTGTTTACTAAAAGTAAACTCAAATTACACTTAACATTACAAGGTAGAGATTTGATTTTTTGTTAATATTCTGCCTCATTGTGTTTCTCTGTTATCATAGGCTGTTCACTACTGATAGCAACAATGTATCAAACATTCAGAGGTCCTCTCTTTAGGCTGAATGTAAACATTCAGAGGTCCTCTCTTTAGGCTGAATGTAAACATTCAGAGGTCCTCTCTTTAGGCTGAATGTAAACATTCAGAGGTCCTCTCTTTAGGCTGAATGTAAACATTCAGAGGTCCTCTCTTTAGGCTGAATTTAAACATTCAGAGGTCCTCTCTTTAGGCTGAATGTAAACATTCAGAGGTCCTCTCTTTAGGCTGAATGTAAACATTCAGAGGTCCTCTCTTTAGGCTGAATTTAAACATTCAGAGGTCCTCTCTTTAGGCTGAATTTAAACTTTCAGAGGTCCTCTCTTTAGGCTGAATGTAAACATTCAGAGGTCCTCTCTTTAGGCTGAATTTAAACATTCAGAGGTCCTCTCTTTAAGGCTAAATTTAAACATTCAGAGGTCCTCACTTTAGGCTGAATGTAAACATTCAGAGGTCCTCTCTTTAGGCTGAATTTAAACATTCAGAGGTCCTCTCTTTAGGCTGAATGTAAACATTCAGAGGTCCTCTCTTTAGGCTGAATTTAAACATTCAGAGGTCCTCTCTTTAGGCTGAATGTAAACATTCAGAGGTCCTCTCTTTAGGCTGAATGTAAACATTCAGAGGTCCTCTCTTTAGGCTGAATGTAAACATTCAGAGGTCCTCTCTTTAGGCTGAATTTAAACATTCAGAGGTCCTCTCTTTAGGCTGAATGTAAACATTCAGAGGTCCTCTCTTTAGGCTGAATGTAAACATTCAGAGGTCCTCTCTTTAGGCTGAATGTAAACATTCAGAGGTCCTCTCTTTAGGCTGAATGTAAACATTCAGAGGTCCTCTCTTTAGGCTGAATGTAAACATTCAGAGGTCCTCTCTTTAGGCTGAATGTAAACATCAGACTTATTTGAATTAATCACATTTTAGCATTTGTAGTAAATGGGTTAGTTGACTTGTATCACAGACACAGGATCCTTTTTATCACATAATTATTCAGGCAAATAGATATCTTCACAGCAAAGTTGACCCAGTCACTCCTGTTTCGGGTCAGAAATACAGAAGTTACACTAGTCAATCCTCTCATCCTTAACATTCCTATTTTTTGACACAAAAAGTTGAGCCCCTGGCCCCAGATCACCTCAGACAAAGTCTTCTGGTGAACTTTTGTGATCACCTTCATCCAGCGGCATCCATCCATAAACAATTAAACATTTTCATTTTCTTCTCAAAAACCCCTGATCCAATTTCAATTAAATTTTGCAGAAATCATCTCAGGCCTAAGATGAATCAAATTTGTGAATTATACAGTCTCCACCCCACAGGGGTCAGAGGGAGGGTGCCATAAGGGGTCAAAGTGACTTTAAATTTCCATAATGTTCTTCTCCACACCCAGATATAGTAGACTCAGATACTATTCTTGAGTGGAAGCATCTTAAGTTGCTTTACCAAAATTATGAATTTCATGGCCCCAGGGTCACACATTTCCCTGTGGAGAGGGGTTAAAGTTTACTATATTTTATATTAGAAAAATAGATTTTTTAGCATAATTTGTTTAATTTCCATTAGAAATATTTCAAACTATGAAATTATAAATGAATGATGATGGCTTGATGGTATACCCATATCGATCCTGACTGACCCCAAAGGAGCTGATGGTTGGGGCTAAAAGGGGTCAAATTGACTTATATTTCAAAATTCATCTCAACACCTAGGTATGGTAGTATCAAATTACCCTCTTCACTTTTACCCCCTTATTTCTAGGTGTTACAGGACTGGCAAGGTGCCTTATTTTCACTTCTTGTTTATGAACAAATATCATGGAAGAAATTAAGATACTAACAGCTATGGAATGGAGAAAATGGAAAAGACTACTTCAGACTATGTAGTGAAATTTTAAATCATTTTTGGATTATTTTCTATTTTAACTTTGTTAGCTGAATGTATCAAAAATGAAATAAGATAATAAAGCCCCTGTCAGATCCTACCTGCACCATACTCATCCCCTCCCTCCCTCCCCTTCATCTCTCTTACTGCTACTATGCTCATTTTTCCCTTTTCTCTAAAAACGGTACACTATAACATAGCACTTACTTTAGTATCAATCTTAATGTCAGGCTTTCATTTTTTACTCTATTTACATTCCTTTGTACCTAAGTGAAAATGGCCATGTGTGAGTGGAATGTTTGATGTGTTATGTTTCATGTATTGTTGAAAATCTTCAAAAAATAAAAAATCATAAAAAAAAAAAAAATACTCTGTATGGATGGAAGCATCATCAGGAATTTTAATTACTAAAATGGGTCTCACATTCCGTCCTGGGGAATACATTTTTTAAACTTTATGAGATTATAAGTTAGTAGGATAAATATTGCTGGTTGTTTATATCCTATTTACGTGTACTGTATTTATCCTCAAAATCCCAACCATATCCACTGATGTTCAGAAAGAAGGGAGTCCAAATTTGTTGCCAACACCTTGTGAATTATATGATATTTTTGTAGCAACCTTGAGTCAATAGCTGTTGACACCACCCTGTGAATTATATCCATGGTCCGTGGTCCGGTCGTCCGTCCTGGCATCTGTCTGTCTCTTAACAATTTTTGTTATAACTATTTCTGGAGAGGTGCTGGATGGATCATTCTCAAATTGTATATGTAGGTTCCCCTTGGTCACTAGTTGTGCCATTTGATTTTGGGACTAAAAACAAAAAATAAAAGGCTAACAGGCTGCCATCTTGGATTTTTTCAGTGAAGTTTGTTATTGCTATTTCTTGAAAAGTAAGAGATGGATCTCTCTCAAATTTCATGTGTAGGTTTCCCTTGGTCTCTAGTTGTGCCCATGTTATATTGGCACTGATCAGAAAAACAAAATAGCCAACTGGTGGCCATCTTGGATTTTGTCTTTGAAAGTTTGTTATCGCTATTTTTTGAAAAGTGCTGGATTGATCTTCCTCAAATTTTATATGTATGCTTTTCTTGATCCCAAGTTGTACCTACCGGTATTTAATTTTGGTAGTGATCAGAAAACAAAAGGGACCACAAGTGACCATCATGGATGTTGACTTTTCGAAAGTTTGTTATCACTATTTCTTGAGAACTACTTTATAGATCTTTCTCAGATTTCATGTATAGGTTCCTTTAGGTCCCTAGTTGTGCCTGTTTGAGTTTGGGACTGATCAGAAGAAACAAAATGGCTTCCAGGTGGCCATTTTGGATTTGGCATAGCTATTACTACAAAGAAATGTTCAAATGTCTTATCATGAAGAGCAAAACCAGAAAAGAGTAAAGAAGGGAAAAACTTTCAAAGAGCATATAAAGATCAAACAATGGTGGCCGCCAAGGTCCATCTGGGATCTCTTGTTAGCACATCTGGCCCAAATGGTGAAGCATCAAATTTTCTATTTAACAACTTCTGACTAACAGAAAGCTTTGAGGCTTGATATTTGACTGATAGTTTAATAGGATGACTCACAACAAAGCTTAGCAAAGATTAAGCCATACTCAAGGCCAGTTGAATAGGATGACTCACAACAAAGCTTAGCAAAGATTAAGCCATACTCAAGGCCAGTTGAATAGGATGACTAGATTAAGCCATACTCAAGGCCAGTTGAATAGGATGACTCACAACAAAGCTTAGCAAAGATTAAGCCATACTCAAGGCCAGTTGAATAGGATGACTCACAACAAAGCTTAGCAAAGATTAAGCCATACTCAAGGCCAGTTGAATAGGATGACTCACAACAAAGCTTAGCAAAGATTAAGCCATACTCAAGGCCAGTTGAATAGGATGACTCACAACAAAGCTTAGCAAAGATTAAGCCATACTCAAGGCCAGTTGAATAGGATGACTCACAACAAAGCTTAGCAAAGATTAAGCCATACTCAAGGCCAGTTGAATAGGATGACTCACAACAAAGCTTAGCAAAGATTAAGCCATACTCAAGGCCACATATGTCAAATTTCTTAAAAACTTTAACTGACTTCTTCTGATAACCAAAAGGTGAAGAAGCATGGTATTTGGCTGTTATGTATCTAGGATAAAGCCCAACAAAGTCCTTAAAGGGGGTAGAAATTATTAAAAAAATACATTTAAACAATATCTTAATTGAGAGAAAAAAAGAAAAAGAAAAAAAAGGAGTGTGGACATATTTAATCCAGGTTATAACTGCCAGTGTTTAGAACTGAGTGTTAAATTAGATTGGATGTGCTTACTTTAAATGCCAAAGTTGTGATCATGTCTTTGATGAACATTGAACACATGGTGAGTGATGCAGGTCCATTGGGCCTTTTGTTGTAGGAACCTTAAGTCGATGTCTGTGAATTATTATGACAATTTTTACAGGAACCTTAAGTCGATGTCTGGAAAGTCTTGAAAGGTTTGATGCTGATCACTCTCCAAGTACAAGCAGCAAATCCACTAGTGAGGCACTCAAACAGGTGAGAGTCTGCAAAACTCATATATAAGGGGCTTAAAAATTTTATTTGGAGGGGGAGAGTGGGGGGGAGGGGGGCATATATACATATTTACCCTCCTCATAACATCTAGTTAATTATCATGTTAAGGTGTTCATCAGTAAATGTTGAAGTGTGAAAGGACATGGGTATATGACACACCAGACATGGATAAATGACACACCAGACATGGGTATATGACACACCAGACATGGATAAATGACACACCAGACATGGGTAAATGACACACAAGACATGGATAAATGACACACCAGACATTGGTATATGACACACCAGACATGGATAAATGACACACCAGACATGGGTATATGACACACCAGACATGGATAAATGACACACCAGACATGGGTAAATGACACACAAGACATGGATAAATGACACACCAGACATTGGTATATGACACACCAGACATGGATAAATGACACACCAGACATGGATAAATGACACACAAGACACGGGTAAATGACACACCAGACATGGATAAATGACACACCAGACATGGGTATATGACACACCAGACATGGGTATATGACACAAAAGACATGGGTAAATGACACACCAGACATGGATAAATGACACACAAGACATTGATAAATGACACACCAGACATTGGTTAATGATGGACAAGACATTGATAAATGACACACCAGACATGGGTAAATGACACACAAGACATTGATAAATGACACACCAGACATGGGTAAATGACACACAAGACATTGGTTAATGACGGACAAGACATTGGTTAATGATGCACAAGACATGGATAAATGTCACATTCTATAAATTTGTCTTCAAAATTGTCTTTGATGGTACAATACTATTTTGGCTGTTTACACATGGATAGAGACATGAGAGCCACCCCTGGGTGAACTTCTGATTTTCATTATTTAGAAAAATTACGAAGGTCCCTGTTTTACCACAATCTAACAATACCTGATCAGATCTAGTATTGATCTTCCTCTGATATTTTTTATATTTGATTTTGGAAAAAACAGATGGTTTTTATAGACTTCATCAATTGTTATTTCAGATCCTGAATGCTGCCTACCAAGTGGAGATCAGTCTCCAGTCAAGTTCTTCGTTCCTCCGAGTCATACTGGAGCGCATGAAACAGGTAAAGTAGCTCTCGTCATTTTGTTGATTAAATCATAATCTGATATATAGTGATTAAACAGTATTTTTATTGTGTTTATGGTGTTATGAATGCATTTTGCTACAGACAAATACAGTGGGCTTTATTGCCAACTGTGTTTATGGTCATTTAAACACAACAACTGTTCCTTTGTTAATACAATGTATAGAGGCATAAGTAATACCAGTAGATGCTTGTAAGGCTGTACTTAGTCTTTCCTTGTAGTCAAATGATGTAGAAGAACTTTATAAGGACTAGTAATAGTGTAGGTACATTATGTAATATAAAGGCAGTAGAGATCTCTTTTCAGGATCATTGTCATTTTGTTTGACTGCAATTAAGAATTTTAGCAGAAGATACTTCATCTTTAGCAGAATAACTGTTGTAGAAGTTACTGTCATCAATTTTTTTGGCTCGCTGATTGTGAGTTGTCTCCCCTGACAGTTGGTCAAGGCCATGCCATGGAGTACTCCACCACGAATTGACCTGGAATGGAAGAAGAAGGCTGCAGCAGACATTCTTGCCAATCTCAGTGAAGCCAGGTACTACAGCATTTTGCAATAATCAAGACATATTACTCTAAAAGAAACAAAAACCTATGATATACAACATATCAAGTTTGGGTTTTATTTTGTGGGTTTGTTTTATATCATAATATTCTGCTTTATCAAGTTCAGTACAGTTTGTATTCATCTTGTTTTTTTAGCCAACCATCTATTTGAATAGAACTGTACTGAACTTGGTTATTCAAATCGCCCTGCGTCCGTGGTCCGTGGTCCGTCCGTCCGTCCGTCCGTAAACAATTCTTGTTACCGCTATTTCTGGAAAAGTACTAGATGGATCTTTCTCAAATTTCATATACAGGTTCCACTTGGTCCCTAGTTGTGCATTGTACCTTTTTTGAACAGATTCGCATTCAAGATGGCCGACAGGTGGCCATCTTGGATTTTTGAAGTAAAAGTTTGTTACCGCTATTTCTGGAAAAGTACTGGATGGATCTTTCTCAAATTTCATATGCAGTTTCCCCTTCGTCCCTAGTTGTGTATTGTACCTTTTTTGGACTGATTCGAATTCAAGATGGCCAACAGGTGGCCATCTTGGATTTTGGAAGTAAAAGTTTGTTACTGCTATTTCTTGGAAAGTACTGGATGGATCTTTCTCAAATTTCATATGCAGTTTCCCCTTAGTCCCTAGTTGTGCATTGTACCTTTTTTGGAATGATTCGAATTCAAGATGGCCAACAGGTGGCCATCTTGGATTTTGGATGTAAACGTTTGTTACTGCTATTTCTTGGAAAGTACTGGATGGATCCTTCTGATATTTCATAGATATTGGTTTCCCTTGGTCCCTAGTTGTGCATTGTACCTTTTTTGGACTGATTTGAAATCAAGGTGGCCCACAGGCAGCCATCTTGGATGTCGACAGTAATACAGCACAAGCATATTGTCCATTATCCACCTGTAACTGACTGCTATCTAATAATACTTTGGGATCTTTTTCAAATGATATTTGCTAATAGGTGCTTAGTAAAAATATCTTGTGCCATCATTGAGTACATTCAATGAAGACCAGTTCATGAACATTTACAACACCTGCAACACACAAAAAAAAAATAAACAAATCTTCAAGAACTGAAAACAGATCCTGAAATGGTGGGCGCCAAGATCCCTCTGGGATCTCTTGTTTTATATGTAAAATTGAAGGATGGTCGTTTGTGTAGTAACACAATTTTCAATTTTAGGTTGGCTAAGAGTATCTCATCGCAGATCAAAGAGAGATTGAACAAATCACATGATGCCTTTGCAATTGCACTTCGGCAGTTAGAGCAGAAACACTCTGGGAGGTTGGACAAGATTGAGGATGAGCGCCTCAAACTGCGAAAGGTTCATGCCCCCCGTGTGGCAAAGGTTGCCCTGGAGAGCACTTCACTCAAGGATGTTATTCTCCATGGTAATTATGGTCAGAGTTTTTAGGTCGCCTGAGCCGAAGGCTCATGGTGACCTATTGCCATCATGATTTGTCTGTCGTCGTGCGTTGTGCGACGTGTGTCGTGCGTCGTAAACTTTTCACATATTCGACTTCTTCTCAAGAACCACTGAATGGATTTTGACCAAACTTGGCACAAAGCATCCCTATGGGAAGCCACTTCAAGTTTGCGAAGAAAAAGGGTGTGGCCCTAATAGGGGCCGCAGGAAGGGGAAAAAGGGTGTAAAATTAGGTAAATCTTTAAAAATCTTCTCATGAACCAACAGTCAGATTAAATTCATATTTGATATTTAGGGTCCTTATAGCAAGGTCTACAAAGTTTGCGAAGGAAAAAAATCAGGTCAAAAACGGCCCCACTAGGGGGCGCTCAAAGAGGTCAAAAATTCAACTTTGACTGATTTCAACCAAATTTGGTAGACAGCATCCCTTAGTGAAGGACATATGAAATTATGTTGAAAAAGTAATAATGTCCCCTTTGGGGCCCATAAGGGGTGTAAAATGGGCCATATGTAAAAACCTTCATTAAATGACTACTTCTCAAGAACCAGTGGATGGATTTTGACCAAACTTGGCACAGAGCATCCCCATGGGAAGCCGCTTCAAGTTGGCGAAGAAAAAGGGCGTGGCCCCAATAGGGGCCCGAGGAGGGGGGAAAAGGGGAAACTTAATACGAATGTTCTACACAAGGTCCTGGCCAGTGTTTTAACTTTTTGGGGCGATTCAAAATCCAAAATGGCCACCCTGGCCTCTGTTTGGCTAAGAACCATTGGGTGGGTCATTTCCAAACTTGGTACAGATGTTTTACACTTGGTCCTGCACAAATGTTGTTACATTTTTGCAACATTTTAAAATCCCCAGCTTATTGACATATATTCCTCAGGTGACCTTTAAGGCCCCTTGGGCCTCTTGTTTGGCTGTTGCTACTCCCTATGGCAAATGTTCGAGCTCTCATTTTCCATGGCAACAATAGTTGGATTGTTTTGTTGTATATTATGAGGTTCATAGACTGTTAAAATACATCCTAACAGAAATCTAATGTCATCTTTAAACTTCATTATGAAATAACACATTGTTTCTGTATCTTACAGTTATTATATAATACACATTGTTTCTGTATCTGTTACAGTTATTATATAATACACATTGTTTCTGTATCTGTTACAGTTATTATATAATACACATTGTTTCTGTATCTGTTACAGTTATTATATAATCTGTATCTGTTACAGTTATTATATAATACACATTGTTTCTGTATCTGTTACAGTTATTATATAATACACATTGTTTCTGTATACAGTTATTATGTTACAGTTATTATATAATACACATTGTTTCTGTATCTGTTACAGTTATTATATAATACACATTGTTTCTGTATCTGTTACAGTTATTATATAATACACATTGTTTCTGTATCTGTTACAGTTATTATATAATACACATTGTTTCTGTATCTGTTACAGTTATTATATAATACACATTGTTTCATCTGTTACAGTTATTATATAATACACTGTTTCTGTATCTGTTACAGTTATTATATAATACACATTGTTTCTGTATCTGTTACAGTTATTATATAATACACATTGTTTCTGTATCTGTTACAGTTATTATATAATACACATTGTTTCTGTATCTGTTACAGTTATTATATAATACACATTGTTTCTGTATCTGTTACAGTTATTATATAATACACATTGTTTCTGTATCTGTTACAGTTATTATATAATACACATTGTTTCTGTATCTGTTACAGTTATTATATAATACACATTGTTTCTGTATCTGTTACAGTTATTATATAATACACATTGTTTCTGTATCTGTTACAGTTATTATATAATACACACATTGTTTCTGTATCTGTTACAGTTATTATATAATACACATTGTTTCTGTATCTGTTACAGTTATTATATAATACACATTGTTTCTGTATCTGTTACAGTTATTATATAATACACATTGTTTCTGTATCTACAGTTATTATATAATACACATTGTTTCTGTATCTGTTACAGTTATTATATAATACACATTGTTTCTGTATCTGTTACAGTTATTATATAATACACATTGTTTCTGTATCTGTTACAGTTATTATATAATACACATTGTTTCTGTATCTGTTACAGTTATTATATAATACACATTGTTTCTGTATCTGTTACAGTTATTATATAATACACATTGTTTCTGTATCTGTTACAGTTATTATATAATACACATTGTTTCTGTATCTGTTACAGTTATTATATAATACACATTGTTTCTGTATCTGTTACAGTTATTATATAATACACATTGTTTCTGTATCTGTTACAGTTATTATATAATACACATTGTTTCTGTATCTGTTACAGTTATTATATAATACACATTGTTTCTGTATCTGTTACAGTTATTATATAATACACATTGTTATTATATAATACAGTTATATAATACACATGTTATTATATAATACACATTGTTTCTGTATCTGTTACAGTTATTATATAATACACATTGTTTCTGTATCTGTTACAGTTATTATATAATACACATTGTTTCTGTATCTGTTACAGTTATTATATAATACACATTGTTTCTGTATCTGTTACAGTTATTATATAATACACATTGTTTCTGTATCTGTTACAGTTATTATATAATACACATTGTTTCTGTATCTGTTACAGTTATTATATAATACACACTGTTTCTGTATCTGTTACAGTTATTATATAATACACATTGTTTCTGTGTTACAGTTATTATATAATACACATTGTTTCTGTATCTGTTACAGTTATTATATAATACACATTGTTTCTGTATCTGTTACAGTTATTATATAATACACATTGTTTCTGTATCTGTTACAGTTATTATATAATACACATTGTTTCTGTATCTGTTACAGTTATTATATAATACACATTGTTTCTGTATCTGTTACAGTTATTATATAAGTTATTATATAATACACATTGTTTCTGTATCTGTTACAGTTATTATATAATCTGTTTCTGTTACAGTTATTATATAATACACATTGTTTCTGTATCTGTTACAGTTATTATATAATACACATTGTTTCTGTATCTGTTACAGTTATTATATAATACACATTGTTTCTGTATCTGTTACAGTTATTATATAATACACATTGTTTCTGTATCTGTTACAGTTATTATATAATACACATTGTTTCTGTATCTGTTACAGTTATTATATAATACACTGTTTCTGTATCTGTTACAGTTATTATATAATACACATTGTTTCTGTATCTGTTACAGTTATTATATAATACACATTGTTTCTGTATCTGTTACAGTTATTATATAATACACATTGTTTCTGTATCTGTTACAGTTATTATATAATACACATTGTACAGTTATTATATAATACACACTGTTTCTGTATCTGTTACAGTTATTATATAATACACATTGTTTCTGTATCTGTTACAGTTATTATATAATACACATTGTTTCTGTATCTGTTACAGTTATTATATAATACACATTGTTTCTGTATCTGTTACAGTTATTATATAATTGTTTCTGTATCTGTTACAGTTATTATATAATACACATTGTTTCTGTATCTGTTACAGTTATTATATAATACACATTGTTTCTGTATCTGTTACAGTTATTATATAATACACATTGTTTCTTATCTGTTACAGTTATTATATAATACACATTGTTTCTGTATCTGTTACAGTTATTATATAATACACATTGTTTTCTGTATCTGTTACAGTTATTATATAATACACATTGTTTCTGTATCTGTTACAGTTATTATATAATACACATTGTTTCTGTATCTGTTACAGTTATTATATAATACACATTGTTTCTGTATCTGTTACAGTTATTATATAATACACATTGTTTCTGTATCTGTTACAGTTATTATATAATACACATTGTTTCTGTATCTGTTACAGTTATTATATAATACACATTGTTTCTGTATCTGTTACAGTTATTATATAATACACATTGTTTCTGTATCTGTTACAGTTATTATATAATACACATTGTTTCTGTATCTGTTACAGTTATTATATAATACACATTGTTTCTGTTACAGTTATTATATAATACACATTGTTTCTGTATCTGTTACAGTTATTATATAATACACATTGTTTCTGTATCTGTTACAGTTATTATATAATACACATTGTTTCTGTATCCGTTACAGTTATTATATAATACACATTGTTTCTGTATCTGTTACAGTTATTATATAATACACATTGTTTCTGTATCTGTTACAGTTATTATATAATACACATTGTTTCTGTATCTGTTACAGTTATTATATAATACACATTATATTCTGTTTCTGTATCTGTTACAGTTATTATATAATACACATTGTTTCTGTATCTGTTACAGTTATTATATAATACACACTGTTTCTGTATCAGTTATTATATAATACACATTGTTACAGTTATTATATAATACACATTGTTTCTGTATCTGTTACAGTTATTATATAATACACATTGTTTCTGTATCTACAGTTATTATATATACACATTGTTTCTGTATCTGTTACAGTTATTATATAATACACATTGTTTCTGTATCTGTTACAGTTATTATATAATACACATTGTTTCTGTATCTGTTACAGTTATTATATAATACACATTGTTTCTGTATCTGTTACAGTTATTATATAATACACATTGTTTCTGTATCTGTTACAGTTATTATATAATACACACTGTTTCTGTATCTGTTACAGTTATTATATAATACACATTGTTTCTGTATCTGTTACAGTTATTATATAATACACATTGTTTCTGTATCTGTTACAGTTATTATATAATACACATTGTTTCTGTATCTGTTACAGTTATTATATAATACACATTGTTTCTCTAACTGTTACAGTTATTATATAATACACATTGTTTCTGTATCTGTTACAGTTATTATATAATACACACTGTTTCTGTATCTGTTACAGTTATTATATAATACACATTGTTTCTGTATCTGTTACAGTTATTATATAATACACATTGTTTCTGTATCTGTTACAGTTATTATATAATACACATTGTTTCTGTATCTGTTACAGTTATTATATAATACACACTGTTTCTGTATCTGTTACAGTTATTATATAATACACACTGTTTCTGTATCATTGTTTCTGTTACAGTTATTATATAATACACACTGTTTCTGTATCTGTTACAGTTATTATATAATACACACTGTTTCTGTATCTGTTACAGTTATTATATAATACACACTGTTTCTGTATCTGTTACAGTTATTATATAATACACATTGTTTCTGTATCTGTTACAGTTATTATATAATACACACTGTTTCTCTATCTGTTACAGTTATTATATAATACACACTGTTTCTGTATCTGTTACAGTTATTATATAATACACACTGTTTCTATATCTGTTATCTGTTACAGTTATTATATAATACACATTGTTTCTGTATCTGTTACAGTTATTATATAATACACATTGTTTCTGTATCTGTTACAGTTATTATATAATACACATTGTTTCTGTATCTGATGGTTACAGTTATTATATAATACACACTGTTTCTGTATCTGTTACAGTTATTATATAATACACACAGTACAATACGTCATATCAATTTGATATCACACAGTGGATAGAGAAGTACAATATTCCTGTTTGAATTTTGACTTTTAGCTAATTTAATTTTGTTGGTTACAACAGGTACACCTCAGATGAGTCGAGAGATTGGTCGAGGTCAGTACGGTGTGGTGTACTCCTGTGACTCCTGGAGTGGCTTTTCTCCCTGCGCCATCAAGTCTGTTGTACCTCCTGATGACAAACACTGGAATGACCTAGCTTTAGAGTTTTACTACACAAAGTAAGTTTGCATGGATTGATTCCATTGGTTTGTATTTAATAAATGATGTTTATCATCCAGTATCAGAGACTAAGAGTTTCAAATCATACTGCAGAATTCTCAATTTTTTATTTTCATTTTCATTGATAGCATAGCTACTCAGGATTTATATGTTCACAAGATGATAAACATAAAAAGTTGACAAGGATTATAGAACTACTAGATTTTGTTATGAAGGTTTATCAATGAAATAAAGTGCCAAGGAAAATTGTTATTTTTGAAGAACCATAAAATTTTATTCTCGCTAAAACAATTGAATTCAATTATGAATATACTGTTTTTATGAATGAAAAATTGGAACATTTATTTAATCGAAAACAAGTGTTAATAATACTTTTTAGCCTACCATCATCAGATGGTGGGCTATTCAAATCGCCCTGCATCCGTGGTCCATCCGTCCTGCCGTCCGTAAACAATTCTTGTTGCCACTATTTCTGGAAAAGTACTGGATTGATCTTTCTCAAATTTCATATGCAGGTTCCCCTTGGTCCCTAGTTGTGCATTGTACCTTTTTTGGACTGATTTGAATTCAAGATGGCCGCCTGGGAGTTTGAGAGTAAAAGTTTATTACTGCTTTTTCTGGGAAAGTACTTGATGGATCTTTCTAAAATTTCATATGCAGTTTCCCCTTGGTCCCTAGATGTGCATTGTACCTTTTTTGGACTGATTTGAAATCAACATGGCCGCTTGTCAGCAAACTTGGATTTTTGAAGTAAAAGTTTGTTACCGCTATTTCTTGGAAAGTACTGAATGGATCTTTCTCAAATTTCATATGAAGCTTCCCCTTTGGTCCCTAGTTGTGCATTGTACCTTTTTTGGACTGATTCGAATTCAAGATAGCCCATAGACGACCATCTTTGATTTTGAAAGTAAAAGTTTGTTAGGGCTATTTCTGGGAAAATACTTGATGGATCTTTCTCAAATTTCATATGCAGGTTCCCCTTGGTCCCTAATTGAGCATTGTACCTTTTTTGGACTGATTTGAAATTAAGGTGGCCCACAGGCAGCAATCTTGGATGTCGACAGTAATACAGTAGTTTGTTATCACTGTGACAGGATCCTTCTCAAATTTCATGTTTAGCTTCCTCTTGGTACCTAGTTAAGCATTGTCCCATATTTAAAATGATCTGAAGAACGAAATGGCCTATAGCTCTCCATCTTGGATTTGAACAGCAAGTAATTGTTTTATGGCTATTTCGTACCTACATGATCAGTCATTCTCAAGTTTCAGATTTTCTAAATTAAGTAAACATTGATAAATACGCTGTTTAGGGTATGTATACTAAACCATGCAATGAATTGAGTTAATGACATATGGGTTGACACATGAGAAGTAACAGAAGAATTAAAAATGTCAACAATTCCTAATATTTAAGTGTTGGTGTTACAAAAACATTAATGTAATAAAATAAACTTTAAAATTCAAAAAACAAAAAAAAAAAATAGTTTTAAAAAACTTTGAACTTTTATTATACTTGTCGCGCTCTTGTACATGTGCATCATTTCATCATCATCATCATCATCATCATCATCATCATCATCATCATCATCATCATCATCATCATCATCATCATCATCATCATCATCATCCATTTTGAATTGAATAAGTATACAACTTAATAAAGGGTGTTCATTTTATCACTATATCCCTATAAAAATATCTTGTGCCATCATTGAGTACATTCAATGAAGACCAGTTCATGAACATTTACAACACCTGCAACAAAAAAAACAACAAAAAATAAACAAATCTTCAAGAACTGAAAACAGATCTTCAGATGGCGGGCGCCAAGATCCCACTGGGATCTCTTGTTAATTCAATAACAGGAATTTTCTTTTAACTTTACCATTTCATCATTTGAGGGGGAAAAAACAAGTCTTAAAAATGGATATTAAATCATTGTTGAAATTTTGAAAAAAAAAATAGTTCCATTAGAAATGGATGTAAAATGATTATATCAACAGGAACATTCCACCACATGAACGAATTGTGGTACTGAGGGGATCCGTAATAGACTACATGTATGGCGGGGGAACCAGTCCTGCCGTTCTCCTCATCATGGACCGACTTCAGCGGGATCTATATGCAGCTATCAAACAAGGCCTAGACTGGGTCAGCAGGTCAGAATTATTACTTACTGATGATCAAAAGCGGTGACCTTGATTGGGTCAGCAGGTCAGAATTATTACTTACTGATGATCAAAAGCAGTGACCTTGACTGGGTCAGCAGGTCAGAATTATGACTTACTGATGATCAAAAGCAGTGACTTAGTCTGGGTCAGCAGGTCAGAATTATTACTTACTGATGATCAAAAGCAGTGACTTAGTCTGGGTCAGCAGGTCAGAATTATTACTTACTGATGATCAAAAGCAGTGACCTTGACTGGGTCAGCAGGTCAGAATTATTACTTACTGATGATCAAAAGCAGTGACTTAGTCTGGGTCAGCAGGTCAGAATTATTACTTACTGATGATCAAAAGCGGTGACCTTGGTTGGGTCAGCAGGTCAGAATTATTACTTACTGATGATCAAAAGCAGTGACCTAGACGGGGTCAGCAGGTCAGAATTATTACTTACTGATGATCAAAAGCAGTGACCTTGACTGGGTCAGCAGGTCAGAATTATTACTTACTGATGATCAAAAGCAGTGACCTAGACAGGGTCAGCAGGTCAGAATTATTACTTACTGATGATCAAAAGCAGTGACCTAGACAGGGTCAGCAGGTCAGAATTATTACTTACTGATGATCAAAAGCAGTGACCTAGACAGGGTCAGCAGGTCAGAATTATTACTTACTGATGATCAAAAGCAGTGACCTAGACGGGGTCAGCAGGTCAGAATTATTACTTACTGATGATCAAAAGCAGTGACCTTGACTAGGTCAGCAGGTCAGAATTATTACTTACTGATGATCAAAAGCAGTGACCTAGACAGGGTCAGCAGGTCAGAATTATTACTTACTGATGATCAAAAGCAGTGACCTAGACAGGGTCAGCAGGTCAGAATTATTACTTGCTGATGATCAAAAGCGGTGACTTAGTCTGGGTCAGCAGGTCAGAATTATTACTTACTGATGATCAAAAGCAGTGACCTAGACAGGGTCAGCAGGTCAGAATTATTACTTACTGATGATCAAAAGCAGTGACCTAGACAGGGTCAGCAGGTCAGAATTATTACTTACTGATGATCAAAAGCAGTGACCTAGACAGGGTCAGCAGGTCAGAATTATTACTTACTGATGATCAAAAGCGGTGACTTAGTCTGGGTCAGCAGGTCAGAATTATTACTTACTGATGATCAAAAGCGGTGACTTAGTCTGGGTCAGCAGGTCAGAATTATTACTTACTGATGATCAAAAAAGGTGGATGTCTTTGTAGAGTATTAATGTAAAAAAAGTTATTAATGAATAAGAACACTGCTATTATGTGACATAAGTGTTAAAATACCAGTGGGTTCACTTCAGAGTAGACTAAAGATAGGCGAGTGTGAAATTCATTAAATATTTTAAATTTGAAAGCAGTGAACAGCTATTTAAATCACAGGCAAGGTGTGCCAGTCCCCTAAGGATTTATCCCCCTTGCTTCTGATGGTCTTTAAGTATTTGGGAAGAAGTGAACTTAAACAGATCAGTGACAAAGTGTGTTGTGTATAATAACTGTTGATCTTATTTTACAGGCTGCAGGTGTCAATAGATGTTGTAGAGGGAATTCGCTTCCTACACAGTCAAGGTCTTGTACACAGGGACATTAAACTCAAAAATGTATTGGTAAGTATAGATGTTGTGGAGGGAATTTTCTTAAAACACCATCAGGATATCGTATACAGCAACATCGATCCCAAAAATGTTGCTGAAGCTGTTGTGGATTGAGTCTTTTTCCTACAGTCAGGGTCTGCCTCCTCAGTTTTTTTTAATACATATACCTTGGTACTTTTACATTGTGGAGGGAGCTTATTTGAGGATAAATACGGTTAAGATGTAAAACTCAATAATGCAGCGAAAGGTTTAGATAATGTAAAGGGAAGCATCTCACTGTTTTGATTTCATAACATTTCATTTCATTTATTTGCAATTATGGAACCATGGCTAAATAGACTAATCAATTGTTAAGAATAATTATTCTAAGAATACTGAATCCCTGATTTTTCTCTCCTGATGAGTAATTGTAAAATCACATTTCAATTCTTAGTTTTGAAGTTATAGATTTATTTTGTTTGATTGACAGCTGGACAACGAGAATCGTGGTAAGATCACAGATTTGGGATTTTGCAAGCCGGAGGCTATGATGAGCGGCAGTATAGTAGGCACGCCCATCCATATGGCACCGGAACTCTTCTCTGGTCGCTATGACAACAGTGTAGATGTGTATGCCTTTGGTATTCTGTTCTGGTATGTGTGTGCAGGGCATGTCAAGCTTCCCAGTGCATTTGAAAAGTGTGATAACAAGGACCACCTTTGGACATCAGTGAAAAAGGGTGAGTTACAACATAAAATTGGTTTTAGCCGGGATGATATTTTTCACTGTTTTGCAGTACATATTGTGATCATGAAAATATAATTTATGAAATAATGAGACACACATGTATTAAATACTGGTATCCTTTAATACCCAGATCATGAAATTTTAATTCATTGAAATATTATTTGGTCATTTTGAAAGAAAATTATATATATCAATTTCCTACTTTTGCAAAAGAAATACACTAATTATGAACTGATGTGACACACCTGAAGAATTACACTGATTATGAACTGATGTGACACACTTGAAGAATTACACTGATTATGAACTGATGTGACACACCTGAAGAATTACACTGATTATGAACTGATGTGACACACCTGAAGAATTACACTGATTATGAACTGATGTGACACACCTGAAGAATTACACAACAGGAATAAAGACAATAGTTGGCTTCAGGAGTTACATCATCGTAGTAGTTTCTACAGGATTTGAAAATATAAAATTTCATCAATGATCATAAAAATCTTGTTCACATTTTTAGTTTTAGATCGCTAGAGTCAGGCAAGGATGAAAAAATGTTTTAATGAAATAAATATACTTGTAAGATTCTACACATACTGTTAATATTTCATTAAATTTTTCAGAATAGGAAGATATACATTAACATTAAGTTGGTTTGTTGGTTCATTACAGGTTTTTTTCTCTTCTTGACTCGTCCTTTTTCTAACAGTTGTCTCACAAACGATATCAGTGTTCTGGTGAGGTGTGTAACATAAGAGTAACAAAACCTAAGGTTATACTCCAAAGTTTGAAAATAACCTTCAAAAGTTGTTTATTTTAATCATGTTATTTGATTTTTTTGCGAAGGTCTACGTCCAGAGAAGCTTGCAACTTTTGATGCTGATTGTTGGAATCTGATGGTGGAATGCTGGGAAGGTGAGCCCTTGAAGCGCCCTCTATTGGGAAATGTTGAAACCCGTCTTCAAAAGATTCATGAACACTTCTGTAAAATACAGCCAAGATCAGATTCACCATTGGCTAAGAAGGGAGATAATCGATCTCGAAGAATTTCAGGAACACGGTCAAGGCTGCAATCCAATCAGTAATATAAGCTTTGTCAGCTGTGTAAGATCTTAGTGACCTCGTTCTGACATCCATTAACTGTCCTTTTCTTAAAATCATTGACAGAGTTTTAAATGAAGACAAGGATCATATTTCTTTCCAATGTGGTTTATGTATTAACTAGTGGAAACTTGTCAATTTCTGCTTAACATGTGTTGCAGATAGCTGTCTGACTTTTGTTAAACAAATTAACTGTGTCTCATTGTGCAACAAAAGACCAAATGGAAGGTGTAATATTTTAAGGATGTTGTTCACAGATTTTTAGCCCACCATCATCAGATGGTGGGGTATTCAAATCGCCCTGCTTCCGTCGTCCATCCGTCCGTCCGTCCGTAAACAATTCTTGTTACCGCTATTTCTGGGAAGGTACTGGATGGATCTTTCTCAAATTTCATATGCAGGTTCCCCTTGGTCCCTAGTTGTGCATTGTACCTTTTTTTGACTGATTCAAATTAAAGATGGCCGACAGGCAGCCATCTTGGAGTTTGAAAGTAAAATTTTGTTACCGTTATTTCTGGGAAAGTACTGAATGGATCTGTCTGAAATTTCATATGCAGGTTCCCCTTGGTCCCTAGTTGTGCATTGTACCTTTTTGGACTGATCTGAAATCAAGATGGCTGACAGGCAGCCATCTTGGATTTTAAGAGTAAAATCTTGTTACCGCTATTTCTGAGGAAGTACTGGATGGGTACTTCTGATATTTCATAGGTATTGGTTTCCCTTGGTCCCTAGTTGTGCATTGTACTTTTTTTGACTGATTTGAAATCAAGTTGGCCCATAGGCAGCCATCTTGGATGTCGACAGTAATACAGCACAAGCATATTTTCTTTGATATTCTATCATATTGATTCAAGACCATGTCCATTATCCACCTGTAACTGACTGCTATCTAATAATACTTTGGGATTTTTTCAAATGATATTTGCTAATAGGTGCTTAATAAAAATATCTTGTGCCATCATTGAGTACATTCAATGAAGACCAATTCATGAACATTTACAACACCTGTAACAAAAAAAAAAAAAAATATTTAAACAACTCATTAAGAACTGAAAACAGATCCTGAAATGGTGGGCGCCAAGATCCCTCTGGGATCTCTTGTCCTTTAAAATACAATTTCATCATATTAACCTGATATTAGACATTATCATGACCAGCTCAAATCATTATAAAAATTATGTGTCAAAGTTTGTATGTTAATGAATATATTTCAGCAGTAATCTTATGTTTATTCAGGTTGATAGTGTTGCACTAAAACATAGCTAATTGCTATTTGCTGTTCTTGAATGGTGTTCCCAATAGCGATTGATCATTGTTTTTAACAAATCCATCATTGTACTGGTTTCCCAAAAAGCGAAAATGCAAAAAAATTTGATTATCTATTATTCTTAATGATTCTTCAAAACATAATGTTAAGCATCTGTGACTGTGAAGAACACTGAAGCTTGTAGGTGCTGTAAAACAGGTTTATCACATTGTCATGGGTTTATTTGAAAATTGTAGATTAGCTCACAGTTGTTGATGTCCTACCATCGAGAGATTACACTGAAATATTGTTGACCGTTTTATTGTAAAAAGTGTTCTCGTTACAGGATAATGTCACTTGATCTGACAGAATGCTTCTATCTTTGTTCTAATTTATTTGATAGATAATACCTGTGTGTTTGTTATATATATATGTTCATTTATATATAATTTATTTACATGAAATGTGTCATTGTTTCACTGTAATATAGCTGTTGAGATTATAACGTCAGTGTTCCTGAATACCTTACATCTATGGAACATCTTACATGTACAGTCTGCTTTAGGATATATCCTAGGCTCTCGTCTAGGTTTATTTCCTTCTTTTCTGTATAAGTTAAGAGTTACCAATTTTAAGGATATATGCTACCTTGAGTTATTTCCCTTCAGTAATATTGACTGAAGTTATCTCCTTTCCTTAATTATTGTAACTTTGATTCCTGATTCGACTTGCCTTAAATGTATATACTATAATTTTTAATGGTATACTTGTGAGTTATGTTTGTGTTGTCTTTCATCAAAATTATTTTCAAAAATATTCCTAGTCTATTTCAACCCATAATTTGGAACTCACGAAAAAAAGTGCATGGAAGTATACGGTACCATGTAGTCTGGAGCTTTTAAACACTATTGAATTTGAAAACATGTTCAGTTCCTGCTATTTAGATTTAGAATCCTATTTATAGATCAATAAAGATCCTGTACATTTTTGTCAATTATTTCTTGACAAAAAGCAATTGCTTTTTTTTCAGTATGCAGATGACACAAATATTCGAATAAATAGAATAAAACTAATGACTTGAAGTTCCAGTGGTTACATAAAATGTCTTCACCATGGTAGTTTATACAACAGTGTAAATAACCTGACACTTAAGCATTGAACTGCTTTCACTTATGATATCAATTCTAACAGGGTAAGGGCAAATTCAATGAAGCAGTTCAATGCTTATATTTACTGTTTTATTTACTTATTTTTGTTTATTATAAGAGAACGTATTCTCAGTTTGCTGACATTATTTGCAATATTCCTACTCTGTTGATAGTTCATTAGTTGGTAACACACAAGTGACATTGATAAAGATACGTCCTAGCTGTGCCATACAATGGTAAATATTGTGAAATAATCATACATTGCATCAATTTTCATAGTTAATGAGAAAGAAAATTGCCAACACTTAGTGTTCAATATGTAAACCTCTCCAAACAATCTATACTAGAAAAATGTTTAAGAACAAAAACAAATCACTGGAATGGATATTTCAGAATTCGTGAATGTTTGATATCTTCTGTATCACTACGTGTTCTAAGCACACTCCATATCTGCAAGTCATTTATGTGTTATCAGTTTAGTTCATTGCTTCGACTAATGGCATTCACAGACTAGTAAACGCATTACAGCTATTATATATATAGATGTGCCATACTTACATGATACCTTTGTGTGTATTTGCTTCTAAAGCTTCATGCTTGTTATGTAAATGTGAATACAGGTGGTATGAATGTGAAAGTGGAGTGAATGTAACTGACACTATGTCACAATAGAATCATTTAACAGAAAGTTTGTACTAATGGGTATTGTACTGTTTATATAAATGTAAAATATCAATCTCTTCCTGGTTCTAGAAAAAGCTTTTTAGATTATGACATTTTGTAAGAAACAGAAACAGGTGTTTACGACTTTCTGTGTATTTCACTCATCAGTGGCTTCTCTCAGAGTACCTTGGATCATGAAGTGATCACTGAGTTTATCTTGCCAGTGAACTATCTTTCCTTATTTGTCCACTCTGTTAATTGAGTTCAGGAGTTCAGATACATTGATGGAATTGACAATATATCTGTATCACCCAGGTGTGCAATTCATTGCAGTAAGCTTCATGGAACTTTAGGTTAAAGATTGAAGTAAATTTTCAGTTAATTTTCTGTGTACTGTTCATTTAAAACAATATATCTAGAAATATTATTGAATCATGTAAAAGTCACCTTGATCATGACCTCAAGGTCATTGGAAAAAAGGGCAAAGCAGAAAAATGCATATTGGCATACAGAAGATTTTTTTATTTTGAAAATATGCTTTTGAAATTAAAACTACAACTTCTTGTACAATATTTTTGTATGGTTGTTATCACATTTTGTGTGTGAAATGACTATAATGCAGAGGTTGTCTTTTATACAAATATTATACATATGTATTAAAAATGCTTCCAATAGTTAGTATTGCTCTACATATTGTAAATAAATTACATGATGATATATAGTGTCTTTTGTTGTCTTGTCATTTACTTCCATAAACCAAAAGAATATTGGTACGGTGTAGATCATTTTGGATACAAGGAACACAATGGAAAATGTTTACTTGAGCACAATAAAGAATATTCAAAACATTTTCAATAAAGTAAACGATGTGATTAAAATTGTATATGACTCGTGTTATATATCAATATTTAATTGACATATTACAGTCTGATAGTCCTATTACAGGTAGATGCTAAATACCTGTATTTATCCTGCAACACTGATCTCCCAGAGTTACTTCCCTTCATTTCACATTATCAGTATAGTGACAAGCTTCTTACTTCCCTTCATTTCACATTATCAGTATAGTGACAAGCTTGACAGCCAATGGAGGCTGAGAATGATTAATACACTTTTGGATCTGTCGCAAGAAAATGATGGAGAAGCCTTGATATGTGAAATTGAAGAGGAAGAATCAAGATATTTAACCAGTGATAAACTGTTTACACTAGAAAATGTTCTTTGTATGGTTACAAACCGTGTTAATTACATGTCAGGCATGCTCACTGAACATCTTCTTTCAACACAATAATCCTAATGGGTTTGTATCGTTTACCTTTCCTGCAGCTTATGAAGGGAAGACTTTATTTTCGGTTTTGTTTTGTCCCCAACAGACTTTCCTTTCTTTTCAGTATGGATATAAGTTGAAATAACATGGCCCCTGGTCTCTTGGGTACTTAAGTTTGCTTGAAGATTGTGACCTAGTCAGTTGGTCAGGATACTTCATTCAAACTTCAATCTCTTCATTTCATTTGCTACACTATCACAACTCTTGGCTTTTCAGGTTACCCTACCCAGACTTTTTGTGACTTATTGTAATGACTTTGTCGCCATGCGTCTTCTGGTGACTTATTGTAATGACTTTGTCGCCATGCGTCTTCTGGTGACTTATTGTAATGACTTTGTTGCCATGTGTCTTCTGGTGACTTATTGTAATGACTTTGTCGCCATGCCGTTTTCTGGTGACTTATTGTAATGACTTTGTCGCCATGTGTCTTCTGGTGACTTATTGTAATGACTTTGTTGCCATGTGTCTTCTGGTGACTTATTGTAATGACTTTGTCGCCATGTGTCTTCTGGTGACTTATTGTAATGACTTTGTTGCCATGTGTCTTCTGGTGACTTATTGTAATGACTTTGTCGCCATGCGTCTTCTGGTGACTTATTGTAATGACTTTGTCGCCATGCGTCTTCTGGTGACTTATTGTAATGACTTTGTTGCCATGTGTCTTCTGGTGACTTATTGTAATGACTTTGTCGCCATGCGTCTTCTGGTGACTTATTGTAATGACTTTGTCGCCATGCGTCTTCTGGTGACTTATTGTAATGACTTTGTGGCCATGTGTCTTCTGGTGACTTATTATAACGACTTTTTTGACATGCATGATCTGGTGACTTATTGCCATGACTTTTGTATGATGTCATGTGTCTTCTGGTAATTTATTGCCATGACTGTTATGTACATGCAATGAAAGCATTTTTTTTTTGGAAGTCCTGGCCCTTTGTTGGATATTTATTCACATCATCATTTGAAGGCTCCAGTACATTGACATGTACCAACATGTGTCTATCATTTTTTCAGAAGATTTTTTTTAAGATTTAAATACATTTGGCACAGCTGACTTTGGGTCCAGGTCATTCACTTGCAGAAAATTAAATCTGTTTATCCAAGCATTTTACTTTCCCAATTACATATTCGTCTTTACTGGATGTCTGTCTAAAATTAGAAAATGCTTAGGTTTGTTAAGGCGTATACATTCCTATCTTCCCATTCAAGGTAGAATGAAGTTTTACAACTCATGTATTTTTCCCCATTTTATTTATTGCTGTACTGTATGGTCTGGATGTGATGCAAATTATATGGGTGGATTATATAAAGCCCAGAAACAGGCAGTAAGAGTTATACTTGATGTGTCATATGATACAACTTCCTGATATGTTTTCTGTTTTAAAATGGCTTCCAATTGAAAAATATTTTAAATTCAAGAGAATACGTATGTTTTACAAATGTATTCATGGATTTGTGCCAGATTACTTAAGCCACAATATCAAAGTACCAGGTTCTCCGTGGCAAAAATTGTTATTATTCCTAAGCACAGAACTACATTTTACTAAAAACTTTTTATATCTGGTGCTCAGGACTGGAATAGTCTACCCAGTCTTTTAAAAGACATTCAAAATTTGAGTTCTTTTAGAGACCAACTAGTTTATTACTTTTGGAATTCTTAACTGTTCTTTTTAATGCAAATTTTCCTCTTTTAATCTATGCTATATTAACGTATATCCTGGTAATTTTTACTTTTTGCTATGTTAGCATATATGTATATACGGCTTAAAGCCATTAATTGACAAATCAAATTAGCACAAATATGTGTTTGTGCTATCTGTGATAATCTTAATTAATACTGACTGTGATGTTATAATGCCTTTCACTATTATAATTTTGGATGTATTTTAGTCTCTGATTGTGATATCGTGTCAAGTTTACTAACTTGAGGACCATGTGGTAGATTAGCCTTTGGCTAAACATGTATTATCCTCTTTAAATGAAGTCTATTATTATTATTATTATTATGCCTCTGGGTTTGGGGTCAATTAACACATTTGATCTGTGACCTTGAGAATGGATTAAAGAAATTCCTTTGAATAAAACTAATAGCCCTTCATCTCTGTATTTAATGATGAAGATAATGACAAATTTTAATACCTTGGCACCCTAAGAATTTTGGAGAAGATTTTTCAATTGAACTTGACAACTCTTCATTCCTGAATACTAATGGGCCAATATCATGACCTTTGACTGAAGGTTATTGAGAAGTTATTTAAACATTTCAATGCATTGGACACACTTGATCTCCAATAAGGGTCAAAATCATTCATTTTAACAAACTTGAAAGTCATTTATTGAAGCATAATATCTTAAGTTCAGCACTCTTTGCTACAGAGAGAAAGCTGTTTACAAGACAAGATGCCCAATGGGCCTGCATCATTCACTTGGTATATCCCAAATATCATGCCTCTAGGACTTTTTAGTTCATGATAAGTCATTTAAATGTGACCTTGAAAATAGGTCAAGGTCATTTCTTTTCACAAACTATGTCAAGCTTCATCCTGGGAACATACCAACCAGATATCATGCTTTTTGGACTTTAACTTCATGAGAAGAATCTATCAAAAATTTAATAAATGTTTTAACAAATTTTACCCCATTAAGCCAAATGAGCTAAAAAATTTGATGCCAGCCTAACAGAAGGAAGAGGGACACTGCATAATGGTACAAACTTAATTGCCCTTTTAGCAAGTATGGTTAGCTAATAACACTAACAAATTATAACACAAATGAACAATTCCTTACAATTGTATTTATATAAATTTCACAGAAACACACATTTGTCTATTCACACATTCAAGCTGCTATGCTTTCGGAGGTACCCAGCTTTGAATCTTGGGCTTGGCTGTACTGTAAGGTACATATTCACCACTGGTACCTGTCATGTTTTCTGTGTGTTCAGCAAACCATGCCCTTTCTTTTGGAGGAACCTTGTTGGGTGGGTTATCTGTGGTGTAGTGAAGCCATCTGTGCCTGTAAACAGAAATGTGTGTACAGTGAAACTTGACTAGTACAACAAATCTTACATAATAACTTCAGTTCTCGAACAACTGTATGTGCAGTAGTCCTATCTGGATTAAGTACAAGACTCTTAATACTTCAATAAATATGGAAGAAGTAAAGCATATTCAGCTGCAGAATGATTGATCGGAAGGATACCCAAATCTCCATCCTAAATAATAGCTCCTGTTGATCTCAAATGGAAATACTACTTCTATTGATCATCATCAGATAATAATGTTATACAAAATTTGATATTTCCATAAGAAATTCTGATAACAATTTTCAGTTGTCAAATACAAGTCGTCAGTCTCAAAATCCCAGAACTAAGAACCAAGACTTACATCTAAAACTAGAAAAAGTTTCACCCAGTTCTCCTCTAGAAATAATGATATCAAACATTCATTTTCAAAATTCACATTAGCTGCCTATCACTGCTGGTACATGACTAGGTGAGCACTGTGTACTTACCATTCTGCTGGAACCTGACTGGGATCTTTATCAAAACCTACAACTTGAACATTATAGTGGACAACTCGATTTCTTCCTACAAAGAAAAATTGATAGCAATGATAAGCAGTCAATTAAAAAATTTCTGAATGCTACAAATCTTCTACAATCTAAGGCTCTCATAAAGGGCATCATGCTGAACATTTGACTTCCTTTTCAATAATACAAAATCACACCCCTCACCCCTCCCCAAACCCAGGTAGGACATTGTTTCGATTCTTCAACAAATCATCTTTCCTGATGAACCACTTTCATACATTTTAATGTTTTTATAAAATTATCTCCCTTTAATACTAACTGATGATTTTAGTGTCTGCTGTTGCCAGTTTTGGATCCTTAAGTCTTAGATTTACTTTTTTGAAAAACAAAATTTGAGCATCAATCACACTCTGACCTTGTCAATCAAATTTGTGTTGAGAAAATGATCCAACAAAAGATTAATAAAGTGCCATATGCTTATCAGCTACGAAAATCTCCATGCAGAAGATTCCATGTGTTCAATCAACCTTTAAATAGCTTAAAGAGTTTTTGCCATGATTTTTCATAATTTCTGAGTAAAATAATGCAATAATGTATTTAGTCTGTGGTATCTCTCCCAGCACACAGGCGACTGCTCGTCCCATCCACTTAGTTTATTCAGGTTAATATTTTCTATGTGAAACAGGTTACATGATATGTGATGTCAAAGTGTTACTCTATTTACTGAATAAGACACTGTTATACAGGGCACACCTACAAATGCTCAAATTTGTTTTAAAGTGAAATCTACTGTTTTTTTATAGTTATAGTTTACATAATGATGTATGACATATAATTTACATAATGATGTATGACATAAAAATAAAGTGTTTTTTCTTTAATCTTATCTAATTTGTTTCGAAAGGGAAGCAACAACCAAACTTTGCTTGATATATGTAGTTTATGTGAACAACTGAATCTGATTCATAGATTCCAGAATAACTACAACTAATTGTTACTTTTCACTAGATTTTGTCACCGTGTGAAATTTGGTGATAGCAAACGACACAATTGATTGTTAAATAATGCACCTTATTGTATCATGGTATTCTACAGGCAATTATACACATCAGAATCAAACTGACGACAACAACCTAAAACAAATCATTTTTGTCACATTTCAAAATATCTCCAAGTAACAATTAAAATGATATATTTCAAGACCAAATCCAACTGATTTTTTTTTCGTAATACTTGTGGTGGGAAATGGATAACCAGAGACATCTCTGTCGAAGCAACCCCTCCAGACAGACGACAGCAAAAGTGACATTCTAACTTGTGGTACTATTTAGCTCTCACGTAATTAACTACAGGTGTTCAGTGGTTGTTTGAACCAATTATAATCACAAGGTAATCAAAAAGGAACATGTTCAGGTTCCTCTGTCTTGACATGTACAACATCTTGTCCTACTTGTGGACACACACTACATTCATCTGTCAAAAATATTATGGATATATTTTAAATCAGTCATTTCACCTCAGAGATATTTCCTAACAGTAAATTATATATAAAAAAAACTCAAAAAATATTATGTACATGTAAATATCAAAATCAGGACTTTTGTAAGCAAATATTATCATAACATTTCCAAAATGCCAATCAAAGCATTTTCGAGATGTAGACATTTTTATTTTTAAAAAAATGGATTTTCAACAACCAAAATCTTTCAAGTCATTTACTTGATATGCTAAACTGTTGCTGGGATTCATATTTTTCATTAATTAGTCCTGGATATCTGCATAATTCTCTTGTTTGCAATATGACTGTTGACACAAATACACATGTATAGAACCAAGTACATGTGTCGATCATGTGTATGTGTGTAAATACCTATGTTTCAAAACAATTTATTCATGTATTCAGAGATGTTATGACGTTCAGGTTTAATTGAATATTGCCGACTCACAATCTTTCAAAGTAGATTTTCCACAAGTTTGGTTTTATTTAAACTGTTTTATTTGCTTAAGTTTTTGTACAACCATATACAGAGTTTAGATAAAGTAGAAAATTTCACTTTCATTCGAGGGTATTGTGGAAAAACGGGAGCATATGAGAAGTGTCTGCCTTCTACACAACTGTTTACATATTAGACACGTTCAGTAACACTTTGAAATGTCGGCAGAACACTGAAGACATAAAACCTGTATACCAACCAACACTTTGATGTCACATGTACCATATGACCGGTCACATAATTAAAGTTCTCACTCATGCACAAAGAATACTTTCAACTGCCTAATAACAGATATTGAGACAAACTTGAGCAGTGCCATATCGATGGTAGTACTATTTAGATGTAACAGAACTTAAAAAAAATTGTGGCCAAAATCCTTTTAGTAATTTAGAAGAGAATATAATGATGCCTATATATGCCGTCTAAATATTACATTATTAGGTTACTTTATTTCATTAACTTTGGTATGAAGGATTTTATGTGAAACACTTTCAGACAAAACTGCTACATGTGTGTATAACTTACCCAGAAAATAATTATCATTTTCATAATATTTGTTACCAAACTTGTCTTCACCAACGAAATGCAATTCTTTTACATCATCAGTCCTACAAATAAAAAAATAAGTTAAAATATAATTGAGCAAAACTATTTGTATATTTAAAAACATTTTATTTTCCACTTCTATTTTTTATGTACTATATGTATTTTAATTAGAACATTTCTACAGATGTCAGATAAAAATATCACAATGAAACATCATAACAAACAGTCCGACAGTTACTGTAACTGACATTAATTGGTATACACAGTCATTTATGTATAATCTTCATATAAACTTCACTTATTTTACAACAATTGAGAAAAAAGTTATTTCAACTAATCACTCTTAATTTAATCTTTTACGAAACACATCCTGTATTATACCCAGTTCTTAAAATTTAGTAAGTGTGACACCTGTAATATGCTAAGCATGATCAAATTGATGCCCATATGCAGAGTGGAGCACGTAAGTGAAACCAAATTCGCATTACTAAATATCGAAGAAAGACAATGAATCCTTACCAAAATGATGTCTCTAAAGCTCTGATAATTCCTCCGTTATTTTTAATACATCGCAGGAGGTTATTAAATTTGCTAACCAAAGACATCCTTCCTTCCAACAGCAGAAGGTTTTGTATATGCCTACGGACTTCAAGGACAACGGTTGGCTATTGGATAAAAATTATTGAAATCGATTTATATTTTCAAAAAGAAAAAAAAATTATGCCACTTTATCAATAGGACATTATTGAGATAAAGTTATATTGCTTCCACCATGAAATCAAAATTTACTATAAAACATTAATAGTTTTTAAAAAATGAAACTCTGCAGAAAATACCAATGGCGGCCTCCTTGAATGCCATGCCCGGTGGAATAGAAGAAGATTTTGACGAAGATGATGACGATTTATGTATTGACGATGATTATATTGTGCAGAAGAAGCCTGCATGGGATCCATTCGAAAGTTCTGGAATATGTGTAAGACTAGATTGCTGTCTTATTTTTTCAAGCAGGAAATAATTTTCATATGGGAGTTCTGAAGTTTATCGACATTTGTTGACAATTGACATGCAGTGACTTTGAAGTTTGACCGCAATCATAGTGACTTTTCAAGCAAGGGGTGTAGATCAATAAAGTTAATATGAAGTAGGCACTGCCTAAAAACGAGCGCAAGTTGGTCAAGAAGATGCACATTTTGAACAGCCTGATCCATGTTTACACTGAAGCGTGTTTTTTTAAATTTGTTGTATATTTCGCAAGGTTTGAACAAAACATCGACACATACAAATGTACCAATATATCATCATCAGCAGCAGCAGCAACACATCTTCTTCTAGAAAATATTGTATCACCATGATCAGGCGGTGATTTGGTGGCACAGTTGTAACACACTTGTCTATCACCTAGCCATTCAGGGTTTGATTCCCCGAAGGGATAGAAAGGATACAGATTTCCTCCCAAAGTTAGACCCCTCTCTTGCTTACAACAAGTGTGATTTTTATAAGTTGAAATAACAAAGTTTCCATATGTAAGTAAGTCATGCACATACAATCATACACCATGAAGGCAGACAAAGAAGAACAAAACAAAAGATGACAAGATAACGCAAAATGTGACACTTTCCCTTCGCGAAGCTGTTTAAAAGAAAAGCACACTATCATATATATATTAACATTACAACAAGTTAATTTCTATTTGTTATTTCTAATTGTTCCATACAAAGTATTGAAATAGAGAACTTCTACTAGAGTACTAGCTTGATGGCTGTACAATGTTTTGAGTATCGGGTAATTACCTTGAATGGTTTAAGATAACTGGTTTGAAAAAAAAGTTTTGTGGTTTGGCCTATGTTTCCATGGTAACAGAAAAAGTATTTAAATGGCAATCTTCCCCATAGCGAAAGAGACTACTATCTATTAAGTGTAAACAGTTTTGAGCAATTACCTTGTCAGAATATTGGCTCAGAAAAACTGAAATTTTGATGAGGGTCATCGGTTTCAATGGTAACAATAAATGTATTAAAAAGGTCACTGACATCATATCTAGACTATAACAATTGATGAAAAAGATCTTCAAAATAAATGCATAAGAGTTTCCCTTTTAGAGTTACAGATATTGCAGAAAGGACTTTCTATCATCTTTGCTGTAAAAAAAGAAAGGATTTTGTCAAAATATGGTGAAAGACAATATATTATAGTTCAAGTCGGGTTTGTAAAAGCGGTGCTAATATGTTTAACAAGTTTTCATTATTAAAATCACAATGTTCTCTCCCGTTTCCTTTTCTCTTCTCTTTGCTATTGAGAGTTTTCGTTCTGTTCATAAAATGCTTCAGAACCTTCGGTTTTTAAGCAATTTTAACTTGTCCTGGTAGCAAAAGGAGGGTAAAGTTATAAACACTGTTGATGCTATTCTGTTATACATTGTAATTAAGAAAATCAATATAAATATATATGTTTAAAAAAAATTCTTATGAAAGCCACAATATATTACATAAACTGCATTATTCTGGATTATTCAAGGAAAGTAATGAAAGGTGTCGAACATTAAACCGGAAATCAGGTACATCGGAGCACAATCGAGCTCAAATCTTGAATGGTTAAAATTGCTATTGTTATATACGTTTCAAACCATTAAAGTATATGTTTGTTGAATTTATCTGAATTATTTAAGACTTTTAGTATGATTTCATTTCTACATGAGAGCTTAAAACAATATTTTGTTGGTCTAAATAATTTTTAATCCATTCAACGGGTTGGCAGTTCTCATTGCGTGCTGCGGCACGTGCATTGTGAATAATGAAGTTCCTGCCACACTTCCGTTTAAAGTTAATCGTATGGGCAGGTTGTTTGAGTTGAATTATCACACACACACACAATACCATAAAGCGCTCACTATTAAGAGATATTTTATATCGTTTACCGATACAGAGTGTCAGTATTATTTTTGAAAAACAATGCAATTGCTCTAATGAAATAATAAAGTAATAAGTAAATAATGGACGCAAGCAAAACAAATGCCTCTTTATCCATATCTAAAGTTATATGATGATCGGGAGATGTTAGTTTCCTATGAAAATTCTAAGATTCTCAGTTATTACATATGTATAGCCAATTAAATGCTAAATAGCAAAAACATTTCACTATTTTCAAGTTGATATGACATCGAAAGTTTCCTCTTTATATATTGTTTCTGCGAAGGCGCACAATTTTTCTACTCCAAGGACACAGTATACATAATTCTCCATGTCATTTTTTTCTTTCTGCTTCGCTTCCTCATATAATGCTTTCTCTGCTTCTCTTTCACATTGTGTTAAGTCATTTCTTATTCCTATTGAGGAAAGTTGACTATGGTTTCTGATTTTTCTGATATTTCTAAAGTTCCTTTCTTTGGTTGTTGTGACTCAATATGAACTAGAATAGGCCGGCTGTTATTGGTTATGTCACTGGACTCTGGTCTCTTTCTCAATCATTTAATTTTTCTAGGCCTATCATTGTTTGACAATCCACAGACTTTAATAAATTTCCTACAACTTTAGCATCATCTTCCATACGTTTCTTTCCGTCGTGATGGGACTGTTCTGGAACTCCAAATAGAATTTCAGCAACTATTTCTCCTTTGCTTGTTGCAGATTTCTCAGATTTCAAGTTCATTTCCAGTTTAGCAATTAATACTTTTACCTCTCTTTCAAGTTCAGTAATTCTATCGTCAAATTCTTGCCTGATTTACCTACACCTCTCTTCTATTTTTCTGTCCGTGAGAATATTCTTTTCAACTGTCATTCTGCATGGTGGACAAAACCACATTGTATCTGATTTTGATAGGATGTCATATTTCTTTGAATCAAAATCTAGACATCTGATGCAGAAAAGGTCCTGGCAACAATCACACTTCATGTACTTCTTTGCTTCCTTCGAGCATATCTTGCAGTTATACTGTTCCTCCATCAATGCGTCTTTGAAGGACTCTTCCGAGTTGGATCCCAGTTGAGAAGCCGATTTCTTGCTACTTTTTGCCATTCAGGTTTTGCCTTTAGTAATGTTATCTGTTATTTCGCGTATATTTTTGTATCCACCAATTCACACTAAATCTAGGATGGTCTCCTGATCACTTCCATACTATATGTATCGATAATTACCTCCTTATCGGCTAATTGCTGATGAATATTACCCCATTGTCTACAGAGCATCCTCATGTATGACTGTATCCATGGCGTGACGTCACAATCAATCATTGAACAGCTGTTCAAGTAATTGTAAAATTAAATGGTCTCGACATCGGTTCCACTGCGCTATATATTTTGATGCAGCCATTTTGTTGATCTGTATTACGTCAACTTTAGACTGACGTGACCTGCAAGCTGTGACCATAAGTATTGGTAAAATCTGTGCATTTACAATTATAAATATCTCTAAAACTAAAAGAGCTACATACCTGTTAGTATCAGTACTTGTTTCTCTATCCTTGTACTCTAACTACTTAATCATTGTGGTTGAGACTTATAAGGGGCCTGTATCTAGTACACTGGCAGGTTATTACAGATGTCTTTTACAACATGGATTAGATCTGCTCAGTTTTGGATTTCATTTGAATGTCTCGCCAGTTGTTTTTGGTGGTTTTCCAGACATTTTCTATGATGTTTAAGGAATTTGAGACGGCCAAAGAAATATTCTGATATTATTCTGCTCTGTGGTTTCTCTCAACACATGACATGGGGTGTAGTCCTCTTGCAGAACTCAGGAGTTGTTTGGAAAATGTCTTAACGATCGCAGGCAAAAGATTATTATCTAAGATGGTAATGTACTTACCACCCTATATGTTCCCATCCATGGAAATTAGCAGGCCAACACCAAAGTAGGTGATACACCCCCTAAATATAACAGCATACCTGCCAAATTTCCGGATTCAGTCGGGAGTTTCTTTCATTTATCTCTTTTTTGTCTCTTTCTCTAACATATTAATAAAATGACATCTTGAAATTTTATGAGATGGTTAATATTATTTGTTCTTTGTTTCAATTAAACAAATTCTTTCAGAAGCATCATATTCAGAAGTACACATTCTTACTAACAACAGATAATCACCAATCTTAATATCTGTTATGTTGTGTGAGTTCAATGAATACTGGGAATCTAAATGAAAAAATTCCGACTTGATCCTTAATTGCGAAAAAAAGCAGATATTTTTTTCATTGTCATATGGTATTGTATCGTAATATTGTTCACACACTTTTCTACCTCATGAGAATTTTGAAAAGTTGGCAGGTTTGTAACCTAACCGAATATTTCTGGCATGGTTTTCAATGACTCCAATGCAATGGGGGTGTAACTGCTTGTTGTTTCAAAGCCAAACACTTTCCTATCTGTACCTATTGTAGTTTTGTCACTGAATGGTTTCACACTGTCCACTGCAGTTTTTTCCTGCAAAACAAAAGCTGTCGCTCACAATTCACTGGTCCAATTTTTATTTTCATTGTTTAAATTCAGATTAATATAGTCTTCTTACACTTCTAGATGACAAATTGTAGTGATATCATTTAAAATCTCTCTTCTGTTTGCTTTCACAATCAGAATCAAATAATATTTACAATGTGTACTTGTTTTTCTTGTCCTCCCACTTTTAGGTAAGTTTTCTATTTAATCCCACTCAAGGGGAAGGGGAATAACTCTAGTGAAATGTGATCACTCAAATAGATATACCCAATAACTTGTTTAGGTATTTATTTTAAGCTAAAAGACAGTCTGCAAGTGAAGTTACAGTCAAAAAACTGAATACCATATTGTTTTGGCCACTGACTATAGAACTTGGGTGGTTTTGGTTACTGTAACTTGTGGAACTTTGTGAAAAAAATAAAATCAATTCCATTCATCATAAAATATCATGGATATTTGTTTCATGGGCCAATTTTTGTACTTTCTCTTAATACTCTTTTTCCACTTGTCAAATATCCTCCCAGATATTATAGCCTATCAATTCATCATCCGCATGCCTTTACTTTTGTTGTCATCCATCAAGTGAATAAAAGTCAAACATGAATAATAGGCCTTGCCTCCTTGCAATTTTTTTGTAGTCTGTCACATTAGAAAATAGCATTATTTGAAAAGTTTGTGGTACAAAAAAGAACGTAAGAATTGTGTCTTAATTGGGAGAAAAAAGATAAAACAATAAAAACTGTAAACAATTAGAAAAGGTGCACACATAGACACAGATCTCCACCATTTATTTTACACTACAGTAAAACTTTGATGTGTTGAAGTTCAAGGGACCGTCGAGAAAACTTCGATACATCGGGACTTCGATTCTTGAATGGTGACCGTCCAACCACAAAAAATACACCTGTAAAAGATGTATATTGTGTCCGTTTGTGTTATATACAGAGTCCCTTATCAATATCTCGTGTTGATCGCTTGCATAATCTATCAAATGTCTGTTCGAACGCAACTTTGTCACAGAATATTTCGAGAGAATGACACGTTGAGATTGAGTAAAAACAACAAGCCATGAATTACAGTTCGTTTCGCATGTTTTACAATGCGTCAATTTCCAATAACATATACACACACATAGCGGTAAACATTTAACGTGTGTTCCGCACGTGTGTATCCCACACCATTTATCCTATCGAGCGTCGCCTGTGGACAAACAAACAATCATGCCATAATCACACCACTTAACGGTCGATGACTTGAGAATACAGCTTGTGTAGACAATCAGACATGGTCAGTGATTATTGTCACTTCGTGTCTAGCCTTGGCCTGGCCATTGTTCACGCTTCCGCCGAGGTGTGAAAACTGCCATGGGACATTCGAGTTTTCTCGTACAGGTAAATTTTTTGACTTCGATTCATGTGTTGTGATTTCTAATGGTTTCTTAACCTTGGGACCAGGAAAAAAGTTCGAAACAGCGAGAACTTCGATTCATAAAAGTTTGAGTCATAAATGTGAAATTAGTAGTATTATATAGGGGAAAAAATCGGGACTTGGCAAAAAATTCAGACATCGAGAAATTTGAATCATCAAAGTTCGACTCATCGAAGTTTTACTGTATTTTATTTTGATTTTTTTTTCATGGAAATATCATTTCCATTCTAAATGATGATTTCATGTAAAATTTGTTTACTTTCGGCCAACTGTAGGCTAACTCAAGCATCTCAGATTATCAGTGATGTCATTAGATATGGAGGTGTTGACAAGATACACATGTCTGTGCTTTCTAGTGAGTGAATTTGAGGTTGTTTTGTGTGTGGATATCTATAAGAAAAAACTGATGTTTCACTGATCACTTTATTGAATAGATTTCACAGTATGAACACATTTCAATACAATTATGTATTTGTTTGGTTGCAACTCATCGACTAAGTATTTCTTCTGAGATTATCAGGAGGTCTCAAACTAAGGTACCAATGATATCCCCATACTTAGGTATCTCTAAGCTCATCATCTATCAGACAATTCACCCTGGATCTTTAATCACGAGAGAAAGATCACAAATGAAATGTCATTTTTGACAGTTAAATCTCAAGGCCTAATGCAAGAAATTCAACAAGGCATTTAAATTTCATCATTTTGGAAGCAATGCTAATTTATCTGCATTAGCAGACTATTTTTTGTTTTATGACAGATCCAACTTTTTTGAATTCATCTTGTACTTGTATCAATTTATGATAAATAAAGGAGCAGATCCCAGCACCAAAACATTGGCAATACAACATTTTTCAGTTGTCTTTGATTGGCAATACAACATGTCTCAGTTGTCTTTGATTGACGATACCTCATGTCTCAGTTGTCTTTGATTGACAATACTTTGTATCTCAGTTGTCTTTGATTTACAATACTTCGTGTCTGTGTTGTCTTTGATTGACAATGCCACATGTCTGTGTTGTCTTTGATTGACAATGCTACATGTCTTTGATGTCTTTGATTGACAATACTACATGTCACTATTGTCTTTGATTGACAATACTACATGTCTATGTTGTCCAAAACCTTGACTGACAATACTACAAGTCTGTGTTGTCCTTGATTGACAATACTACAAGTCACTGTTGTCTTTGATTGACAATACTACATGTCTGTGTTGTCTTTGATTGACAATGCTGCATGTCTCTGTTGTCTTTGATTGACAATACTACATGTCTTTGTTGTCTTTTATTGACAATACTACATGTCTTTGTTGTCTTTGATTGACAATGCTACAAGTCTGTGTTGTCTTTGATTGACAATACTACATATCTTTGTTGTCTTTGCTTGACAATACTACATGTCACTATTGTCTTTGATTGACAATACTACAAGTCTGTGTTGTCTTTGATTGACAATACTACATGTGTTTGTTGTCTTTGATTGACAATACTACATGTCTGTGTTGTCTTTGATTAACAATACTACATGTCTTTGTTGTCTTTGATTAACAAAACTACATGTCTGTGTTGTCTTTGATTAACAATATTACATGTCTGTGTTGTCTTTGATTGACAATACTACATGTCTGTGTTGTCTTTGATTGACAATACTACATGTCTGTGTTGTCTTTGATTGACAATACTACATGTCTGTGTTGTCCAAGACCTTGATTGACAATACTACATGTCTGTGTTGTCTTTGATTGTCAATACAACATGTCTTTGTTGTCTTTGATTGACAATACTACATGTCTGTGTTGTCCAAGACCTTGATTGATAATACTACATGTCTTTGTTGTCTTTGATTGACAATACTACATGTCTTTGTTGTCTTTGATTGACAATGCTACAAGTCTGTGTTGTCTTTGATTGACAATACTACATATCTTTGTTGTCTTTGCTTGACAATACTACATGTCACTATTGTCTTTGATTGACAATACTACAAGTCTGTATTGTCTTTGATTGACAATACTACATGTGTTTGTTGTCTTTGATTGACAATACTACATGTCTGTGTTGTCTTTGATTAACAATACTACATGTCTTTGTTGTCTTTGATTAACAAAACTACATGTCTGTGTTGTCTTTGATTAACAATACTACATGTCTGTGTTGTCCAAGACCTTGATTGACAATACTACATGTCTGTGTTGTCTTTGATTGACAATACTACATGTCTGTGTTGTCTTTGATTGACAATACTACATGTCTGTGTTGTCCAAGACCTTGATTGACAATACTACATGTCTGTGTTGTCTTTGATTGTCAATACAACATGTCTTTGTTGTCTTTGATTGACAATACTACATGTCTGTGTTGTCCAAGACCTTGATTGATAATACTACATGTCTGTGTTGTCTTTGATTGACAATGTTGCATGTCTCTGTTGTCTTTGATTGACAATACTACATGTCCGTGTTGTCTTTGATTGACAATACTACATGTCTTTGTTGTCTTTGATTGACAATACTACATGTCTGTGTTGTCTTTGATTGACAATACTACATGTCTGTGTTGTCTTTGATTGACAATACTACATGTCTGTGTTGTCCAAGACCTTGATTGACAATACTACATGTCTGTGTTGTCTTTGATTGACAATACTACATGTCTGTGTTGTCCAAGACCTTGATTGACAATACTACATGTCTGTGTTGTCTTTGATTGACAATACTACATGTCTGTGTTGTCTTTGATTGACAATACTACATGTCTTTGTTGTCTTTTGATTGACAATACTACATGTCTGTGTTGTCTTTGATTGTCAATACAACATGTCTTTGTTGTCTTTTGATTGACAATACTACATGTCTGTGTTGTCTTTTGATTGACAATACTACATGTCTGTGTTGTCTTTTGATTGACAATACTACATGTCTGTGTTGTCTTTGATTGACAATACTACATGTATTTGTTGTCTTTGATTGACAATACTTTTGTCTATTGTCATGATCAGAACATCAGAAAGTTTAAAACCCAGGTAGACTGAATTACAAACTGAATTTTAAGTCTGAAACATAAGTAAACTCTCTTTTAACTGTATTATACTTATAGTATAAACAGAAAAGTTGTTAAAATCCATGTATATATGTACAATATGTATACTTGAAATTTTTTTTTTAATCTCTACAGAATGATAAAGACCCAGGATTAAGAAATGCTGGTGGATTTGGACGTCCTGCAAAACCAAAAAGTAATACTGGAAAGATTAGGAGAGATTTGAAGGGAACTACCAATAATGACACACTGTCGGTAGGGATGGATGACTATAGGACAGCTGCACTGAGAGACAATGTTGAGATGATAAAGTCATTAACGGAGAAAGGTAATAATTGTGACAGGTGTAGCCTAAAACACATTTTATAACTTTGGAACCTCACATCAAGGATGATAAAATCAGCATGAGCGTAGATTTGATGTTTTTTACAAGAAAACACACAAAGAATCTACTTGTGTTCTTATAAATACACCACAGTTTACAAAAATGTTTTGTATAAGTTAATAGCGTTAGTTGTGTATTTACACTTTGTATGAAATCTCGATTCAGTCTATGACTTGGTTCCTAATTCCCCAATATACAATATTTAGATACTTTAATTTCATATGTGCAAAGGGTATTCCTACCAATTATGTCTGCCAAAATTCAGCTGACCTTAGGAAAGATATTTTAATGCTGAGAATAGATTGTACTAAAGTCATTACAAAGAGTCCTAAAAAGGTACAAAACAGCCAAACATTTTCCAACTTCTACAAAATATCCTTAAAGCATAGAAAAGCAATCACATAGATAGCCTGAAGTTATATGCTTTTGATGTGTTTGTTTATTGTGTACGATTGCAGATCGATACCTAAGACATGAAACAATGTACTCCTGAAACATAATTCAGTCCTACTAGTGAATCAGTTTGATGTGTATATATATGTAGATATATCTGTTTGTAGATGTCAGATTGATCAAATCAGTGTAAAGTGTCCTTTTGTTTAAGGGTTTGACATAGATACAGAGCTCCGTGCGGGATGGACCGCACTAATGTATGCTGTCAATATGGCCAACTGTAGTGTCGTGGAATACCTGCTGAACAATGGAGCTAACCCTAACAGTCATGCAGGTACAGTATTCCTAATTAATTCATTTGAACAAACAAACAAACAAAAACAAAAAAAGAAAATTGAAACAAACATTTAAAAAAAAAAAAGAAACAAAAACATACAACTTTCTTTGTATATCTCTTAGTTTATCAAACGTGTACAAAAATTAACTATGATGGTCAACGTGTATTAGGAATTGGATACAAAATTAAAGTCATAATTAAGATCATTTTGGTGTTGATAAGACAAAAAGTTTTAGATAGTGTCAGAAGTACAAATTTTTGGGGTTTTTTGGGGTTTTTTTTTTTGCAATCACCTTCATCTGGCGTCATGCATCTGTAAGCATTTTAACATTTTTGACTTCCTTTCAAAAAATCAATAAAATTTTGCAGAAACCTTCCCTGGCCTAAGATTAACTGAATTTATGAATTATACTATCCCTTCCCCACAAGGGCCAGAGGGGTGAGGCCAAAAGGGGTAAAATTGACATAAATTTCAAAAATTTTCTTCTCAACAACCAGGTATGTTAGAATCAAATGCTTTTCATGGATGGAAGCATCTTAAGGTGCTTACTACAATTGTGAATTTCATGGCCCCAGGGTCTCACATTTCCCCGTGGGGAGGAGGTAAAGTTTACACTATTTTATAAAGGAAAACTATAATTTTGAGCATAATTTGTATAATTTCCATTTTAAATATTTGAAACTTGGTTAGAATTATGAGTGAAAGATCCTGACTGACCCCAAAGGGCGGGTTGGTGAGGCCAAAAGGGGTAAAATTGACATAAATTTCAAAAATTTTCTTCTCAACAACCAGGTATGTTAGAATCAAATGCTTTTCATGGATGGAAGCATCTTAAGGTGCTTACTACAATTGTGAATTTCATGGCCCCAGGATCTCACATTTCCCCGTGGGGAGGAGGTAAAGTTTACACTATTTTATAAAGGAAAACTATAATTTTGAGCATAATTTGTATAATTTCCATTTTAAATATTTGAAACTTGGTTAGAATTATGAGTGAAAGATCCTGACTGACCCCAAAGGGCGGGTTGGTGAGGCCAAAAGGGGTCAAATTGACTTAAATTTCAAAATTATACTTCTCAACACCCAAGTATGGTAGAATCAAATCCTCTGTATGGATGGAAGCATCTTCAGGAACTTTAATTACTAAGATAGGTCTCAAATTTCTCCCTGAGGAGGAAGTTTATAAAAATTTTACTGTAATTTTCATGGAAAATATGCATTTTGAGGAATATGTTGGTTATTTCCCATTGGAAATAACTTTATAAGAATTATCAATAAAGGATGAGAGTTTTGATGGCATGCATGTATTGACACTGGCTTACATATTGTGTCACAATTTCTGTTTCATGACACTTAATAACTACCCTTAACTTTTATATTTAATATTTCTTATCTCAGGTGACAGTCAAGGCCACTAGGCCTCTTGTTTTTTTTTTACCCATCCTCTGTCTTCCCTTACAGACCTTTACTCAGTTCTGATGGCTTGCTGTGCATCTACCTCCAGATTTACTGACCGCCTAGAAAAATGTGTGAAATGCCTTCTTGAAAAGGGAGCTGATGTAAATGCCCATGACAGGTAGAGCAGATTACTCATCTTATTTATGGAAACAAATTAGTTGTTTTGAGATGACAGCAAACTAAGTCTGAAGAATGAGTTTTGATGAAGACCGAGGGAAGATATTTAAAAGATACAGAAACTTGTGTGGGGCAGTGATCTAACTTTGGTTTTTTTTTCTAAATGGTGAAAAATATGTAAGAGCATGAAATAATCATTGCTATCTGATTGTTCCATCCAACAATGTCACCAGTATATTCAATGTAATCATAAATCAAAGGTCAAGGTCAACAAATTTTAGAAAAAATTCAAATGGAAGGAATCTACTAATCACTTATTCCTGTGTTGTTATATAATTATACACAAATATGTCAGGTTCAGATGTTAAAGGTAAAAAATATACCTTGTGTTACACTAATTTATACAGTATAGGCATACCAGTAGAATCAGTGACAAGACATTTTTTCCTTTTCAGATACCACTTGACCCCTCTTATGTATGCAGTGCGGGAGGGGCTTGTTGGGGTTGCCAAACAACTAGTAGATGCAGGTGCTAACATTGATAAACAAGACACACGGGGATGGACGGTAGGATAATTTTCAGTCTCATATATGAATTTACATCTCTTTATTCTTTATGCTTACATATCAAGAAACATTTCACGGAATAATTCCAATCTAAGATATTGTATAGATATAGTCTATTTTGTCATATAGGTGATAGTAAAGAGGACAGGTGCCATATCCTCAAATTGATGGGTACTAGTATTGGATCTCTCTATTGAAAGTGGTTAGTTTTCATTATCTTTATCATAAGATTCCATGTCAAATATTGTACTGACAAATTTTGATTACAAAAAAAAAGATCAAAGTATATTTTTAGCTCTTGATCTGCAATGGTGAAAATATAGCACGGCTAAAATAATGTGTTCTGGATTGATACCAAATGTTGCTTTATCATTTGTTTGTCTTGACCACAGGCCCTGAGCTGGGCCATCAGTAAAAATAAGGAACAGTCTGTCAAGTTCTTACTGGACCACAAAGCTGACACGAGGAAGAGACACTGTGATAATACAACAGCTGTGGAACTGGCTGAATTACAGGAAAACTCAAAGGTGTGTACAGGTGTATATAACAGAAAAACTTACAGGTGTGTACAGGTGTATATAACAGAAAAACTTACAGGTGTGTACAGGTGTATATAACAGAAAAACTTACAGGTATGTACAGGTGTATATAACAGAAAAACTTACTGGTGTGTACACATTTTCTATTTATTCAGATTGTCATGTTTGTTTGGGTTTAGAAATCAGTTTGAAGCAATGTTGCACAAAATTTAATTTCTTGAGCACAGTATGCTTAGTATAATGTTTAACATGCTGAGAGATCTACTCTCTTCTCAAGACAAGACAAATATGTATTGGTGATATATATTACCATGGTATTTAATCTGAAATGTATACTCTCATGATGATTTTACCTCAACTAACCTTGTGTGCATGTTCAGTAGTTTGTCTGCCCTTAGTCTATTTTCTTAGTTTATTTATAAACAACATAACAATTACATTAAAGGTAAAGATATAAAAATTGTGTAAATAAAAAATTTCTTCTGAATTCTGACATGTGATTGCTATAGTTACCAACTCAAAATACTCCGAATTCCAGCCTAACATTACAACCTTATAGTAGAAATTATTTCTGGACACCTGCCTCAAAATCAACAACACTGTCATGGTAACAAAGTACTTATATTTTGGCAAATTCTTGGAAAGCCTTCACAACATAACCATGTGTAAACACTATGAAAATTCCACTTCCTATAAAGCAAGTTTTTTGTGTCGCCTGCAGAGCTTAGGGATCACTTTGTCCGTTGTCACGCATTGTCAGCAGCAGCGACAGCGTTGTCCGTACGAAAGTTTTCCGGACTTTTTCGGTAATGCTTTGAGTTATCAAAATGAAATTAAGTATATGGCTTCTTGTTGCAAGGGTACAGTTTAAGTTCGATTCCCTGCTGTCTATGACCCTTTTTGGCAGAGTTATGCCCGTTTCAACTTAGAAAATTTCTCAGGAATATTGCTTTGCGCAGTTTTCCCTTTATGCTTCAAGTTATAGAAATGAAATTTGGTATTACAACTTTATGGTTGATTGTTGCACATCCAGTTCAATTTCTGGGTGACCGTGACTCTTTATGCAGGCGACACATACATTTCCGAGGAACTCTTGTGGTGTATAGACACAGATTCAAGACCACCCCAATAGTAATCTCTAACACAAAGCTAAAATATTATTTTGAAGAAGATAAAACCCCTTATTGTCCATTTCAACATGACAAGATCAATTTTAGCAAGGATTTATTTTTAAAATTAAATTAAAAACCTTTATAATGGGATAATCTAATGAACAAAAATATCACCCGTGGCCACACTGAGAAATTGCTACCAAAAAAGAGAGAAGGATAAAGATCCAACTGGTAAACAAATGAATACTAAACAATGGTGGACACCAAGATTCCTCTAGGATCTATTGTTCTTTTCTCAAAATACTATGTTAAGTGATACATACAAATATTATTCAATTAAATATTGCTGGTGAAAACCTGAACATTGGCCACAGAAGATTGAGACAGAAAAACATGAAAATGCTCACACAAGTTATAGTTATAGTTTACAAGAATAGTTATTTTCTGAACTGATAAAAAATGTTATTCACATTGTGTCTAAAAATCTTTTCTTCTCTATAGATACTAGAGCTTTTAGGCACTGGCTCAGTCCAACAAGTAGCAGCCCCTGTGATTAATGGTCTACCCCAGCCTCGGGCATGTCAAGCACTCCTACCATATGGCCACCCAGGGCATTTGGTGCAGAAAACAGAGGAACCAGTGGGCGAGGAAAGGTGAGCAATAGCACATTTATTGGGTAAGAAGCCCATGTTTGGTTATAACTTAATCCTACATCTTTGGTCACATTTAATCAATATCTTTATCAATATCTTTCACATAAACACTGTAGTGGTTGTGATGTGTTGTTAGGTACACCAAATGTGGAGAACTGGAGCTGTTTCTTAGTGGCCTTGACCTTAGTCATTTCATTTCACTTTTCCGTGGACAGCAGGTTGACTTTGCCACATTTCTGCGGATGTCTGATGATGACCTCATTAAGGTACTCAATGTCATTAAAATATTAACTCATGTTGTTTAATTCACATTAAAATATTAACTCATGTTGTTTAATTCACATTAAAATATTAACTTATGTTGTTTAATTCACATTAAAATATTAATGCATGACATTAAATTCTCATTACAATATTAACTCACAACATTTAATTCTCCTAATAGTATTAAGCCACTTTGTTAAATTCTCATTATGATATTGATTAACTGCATTTGATTTATACGACCAACTTACCTTGTACATGTCATCATCAGTTCACCTCTTTAATGCCCATTGGCATATTAGCTTACATCTTTTTAACCTTCTACAATATTCATTGTGATTTATAATCTCATTCAAACATTAAAGCTCAAGTCTTCCCTCTATTGTTTATCTTTTGTTGACACGCTCTCTATCAATTTATTTTGGTGACTCATTCCCGTGTCTAGGCAAAAATAAAGGTGCTTGCCCCTGAACAACTGTATGATAGAGGCAAATGGTTTGATCAGAGAAATGTTGATTAGAAATGTTCTTGGATATGTGTTAAATGTAATCAGTATTTTCATTTTCCAAACAGGAAACGTTAAATCCCTTCAGTTATATTCAAGATAATATTATTCCTGTGGCATGTTTGATAAAATTGTTTTGTGATTTTGGGATTTGGATGTACGTTTATGACTTTCAGATGGGTATTCATCAGCTAGGTGTTAGGAAGAAGATACTAGATGGAATACATGTAGTCCACAGGAAGGAATGGCAAAACACCAGTATTCCTTCAGTACAGGCCAAGAACATCAGGTGAGACTCCATACACATTTTACTCTCCCTTAATTATTCAATCTTCCAGTAATATATTCTCAATTCAGTCCATACTAATTGTTAATGAAAGTTATTCACTGAAAATCTCCTCTTTTTCTCAGGAAAATAAAATCTGCTTAGTTCTCAGATCTCTCTGGTCATATTCTGCAAAGCAATTTTGTTTCATAATTGGACAAAGAGGCAAAGCTGTGTAATACTTACAGACAGTGTTATGTCAGGGCTTTATCACATGTAATACTGGTATGTAATACTTACAGACAGTGTTATGTCAGGACTTTATCACATGGAATACTGGTTTGTAATACTTACAGACAGTGTTTATGTCAGGACTTTATCACATGGAATACTGGTTTGTAATACTTACAGACAGTGTTATGTCAGGGCTTTATCACATGGAATACTGGTTTGTAATACTTACAGACAGTGTTTATGTCAGGACTTTATCACATGGAATACTGGTTTGTAATACTTACAGACAGTGTTTATGTCAGGACTTTATCACATGGAATACTGGTTTGTAATACTTACAGACAGTGTTATGTCAGGGCTTTATCACATGGAATACTGGTTTGTAATACTTACAGACAGTGTTTATGTCAGGACTTTATCACATGGAATACTGGTTTGTAATACTTACAGACAGTGTTTATGTCAGGACTTTATCACATGGAATACTGGTTTGTAATACTTACAGACAGTGTTTATGTCAGGACTTTATCACATGGAATACTGGTTTGTAATACTTACAGACAGTGTTTATGTCAGGACTTTATCACATGGAATACTGGTTTGTAATACTTACAGACAGTGTTTATGTCAGGACTTTATCACATGGAATACTGGTTTGTAATACTTACAGACAGTGTTTATGTCAGGACTTTATCACATGGAATACTGGTTTGTAATACTTACAGACAGTGTTTATGTCAGGACTTTATCACATGGAATACTGGTTTGTAATACTTACAGACAGTGTTTATGTCAGGACTTTATCACATGGAATACTGGTTTGTAATACTTACAGACAGTGTTTATGTCAGGACTTTATCACGTGGAATACTGGTTTGTAATACTTACAGACAGTGTTTATGTCAGGACTTTATCACATGGAATACTGGTTTGTAATACTTACAGACAGTGTTTATGTCAGGACTTTATCACATGGAATACTGGTTTGTAATACTTACAGACAGTGTTATGTCAGGGCTTTATCACATGGAATACTGGTTTGTAATACTTACAGACAGTGTTTATGTCAGGACTTTATCACATGGAATACTGGTTTGTAATACTTACAGACAGTGTTATGTCAGGGCTTTATCACATGTAATACTGGTTTGTAATACTTACAGACAGTGTTATGTCAGGGCTTTATCACACGGAATACTGGTTTGTAATACTTACAGACAGTGTTTATGTCAGGACTTTATCACATGGAATACTGGTTTGTAATACTTACAGACAGTGTTTATGTCAGGACTTTATCACATGGAATACTGGTTTGTAATACTTACAGACAGTGTTTATGTCAGGACTTTATCACATGTGGAATACTGGTTTGTAATACTTACAGACAGTGTTTATGTCAGGACTTTATCACATGGAATACTGGTTTGTAATACTTACAGACAGTGTTTATGTCAGGACTTTATCACATGGAGTACTGGTGGGTCTGTTACACCCTGTCCTGTCCTGTCCTGTCCCGGCCTGTGTTGCTGTTGTCTGTCCCAACCTGTCGTGTCCTGTCCTGTGTTGCCAATGTCTGTCCCACCCTGTCCTGTCCTGTCCCATGTTGCCGTTGTCTGTCCCACCCTGTTCTGTCCTGTCCTGTCCTGTCCTGTCCTGTCCCGTCTTGTGTTGCCAATGTCTGTACACCCTGTCCTGTCCCGGCCTGTGTTGCTGTTGTCTGGCCCACCCTGTAGTGTCCCGTCCCGTGTTGCCATTGTCTGTCCCACCCTGTAGTGTCCCGTCCCGTGTTGCTGTTGTTTGTCCCACCTGTCATGTCGTGTCCAGCCCATGTTGCCGTTGTCTGTCCGACCCTGTCCTGTTGTGTGCCGTCCCATGTTTCCGTTGTCTGTCCCTCCCTGTCCTGTTGTGTCCCGTCCCATGTTGCCGTTGTCTGTCAGACCCTGTCCTGTTGTGTGCCGTCCCATGTTTCCGTTTTCTGTCCCTCCCTGTCATGTCATGTCCAGCCCGTGTTGCGGTTGTCTGTCCGACCCTGTCCTGTTGTGTGCCGTCCCATGTTTCAGTTGTCTGTCCCTCCCTGTCCTTTTGTGTCCCGTCCCGTGTTGCCGTTGTCTGTTGCACCCTGTCCTGTCGTAAGCACCTAGTAACTTCATTCTTTGAAAGATTTTGGTAAAACTGTATATAAAGGTCAAATACAAGTATACTTTGGACATCATTGTGTTTCTGGGGCCCAAGGTCAACGCCAAGTTCAACGCCAAGGTTACCCTTAGCTTGTTATATGTAAAAAATCATCAACTGCATGATTCAATTTAAATACTTAGCAACTTCATTCTTTCATGGAATTTGGTCAAACCACATGCAAAGATCAAGTATGATTATACTTTTTACATTGTTGTGTTTCATTGGTCCAAGGTCAAGGCCTTGGCGATGGGAGCATTTTCTAGTTTCCGAAAGCTACTTTGTTATAGACTTTGATTGTTAAGCATCAAAACTCACTCTAAAGTTTTCGTGTAAGTTTTGGAAAGGCTTCTCAAGTCTATTAGTATACATCATATACCCATCCTTAAAATAAATCATTAATTTTTTTTCAAATATTTTTATCGCAAATAGCTGCTGTCAGTGAGCTATGCGTTATTCTCAATGCACTCTTCTAGGATGAAGGCAAACAATGCATTATGCATCAAATATACTCAAACTTCAAGCGATTTATCTAAAATAATCACAAGTTAAAAACTTGTAACTTCTTGTCATTGAGTTATCCATCATAATTCTATCAAATTAAGAGAAGATAATCGTTAGGCAGTTTACTGGTATATATAATTATAAAGTCCGGGTTTACTGGTATATATAATTATAAAGTCAGGGTTTACTGGTATATATAATTATAAAGTCAGGGTTTACTGGTATATATAATTATAAAGTCAGGGTTTACTGGTATATATAATTATAAAGCCAGGGTTTACTGGTATATATAATTATAAAGTCAGGGTTTACTGGTATATATAATTATAAAGTCCGGGTTTACTGGTATATATAATTATAAAGTCAGGGTTTACTGGTATATATAATTATAAAGTCCGGGTTTACTGGTATATATAATTATAAAGTCAGGGTTTACTGGTATATATAATTATAAAGTCAGGGTTTACTGGTATATATAATTATAAAGTCAGGGTTTACTGGTATATATAATTATAAAGTCAGGGTTTACTGGTATATATAATTATAAAGTCAGGGTTTACTGGTATATATAATTATAAAGTCCGGGTTTACTGGTATATATAATTATAAAGTCAGGGTTTACTGGTATATATAATTAGAAAGTCAGGGTTTACTGGTATATATAATTATAAAGTCAAGGTTTTTTTTCAGTTTAACGGTATATATAATTATGTAACAGAGGTCATATTTTATCTAAATGCCTCCGCTAGGAATCGAACCCGGGACCCCTGGCTTACTAGTCTGACGCTCAACCAATCGAGCTAAAGAGAAGTTCTCTCTAGCCGAGTGGTATATTGCGGCTAGTATTTTACCAGGGTTACATACTCCCCCTCCAGGAAATAACTCGTCCTCGAGTTTCCAGGGGCTACAGCGATGCCGATGGGGCATGGCTAAGTACTAATCCCGGGTCCCTACATGGGCGCCAATGTAACAGAGGTCATTTTTTATCTAAATGCCTCCGCTAGGAATCGAACCCGGGACTCCTGGCTTACTAGTCTGACGCTCAACCAATCGAGCTAAAGAGAAGTTCTCTCCAGCCGAGTGGTATATTGCGGCTAGTATCTTACCAGGGTTACAATTATAAAGCCAGGGTTTACTGGTATATATAATTATAAAGTCCGGGTTTACTGGTATATATAATTATAAAGTCAGGGTTTACTGGTATATATAATTATAAAGTCCGGGTTTACTGGTATATATAATTATAAAGTCAGGGTTTACTGGTATATATAATTATAAAGTCAGGGTTTACTGGTATATATAATTATAAAGTCAGGGTTTACTGGTATATATAATTATAAAGTCAGGGTTTACTGGTATATATAATTATAAAGTCAGGGTTTACTGGTATATATAATTATAAAGTCAGGGTTTACTGGTATATATAATTATAAAGTCCGGGTTTACTGGTATATATAATTATAAAGTCAGGGGTTTTTTCAGTTTACTGGTATATATAATTATAAAGTCCGGGTTTACTGGTATATATAATTATAAAGTCGGGTTTACTGGTATATATAATTATAAAGTCAGGGTTTACTGGTATATATAATTATAGAATCAGGGTTTACTGGTATATATAATTATAAAGACAGGGTTTACTGGTATATATAATTATAAAGTCAGGGTTTACTGGTATATATAATTATAAAGTCAGGGTTTACTGGTATATATAATTATAAAGTCAGGGTTTACTGGTATATATAATTATAAAGTCAGGGTTTACTGGCATATATAATTATAAAGTCAGGGTTTACTGGTATATATAATTATAAAGTCAGGGTTTACTGGTATATATAATTATAAAGTCAGGGGTTTTTTCAGTTTACTGGTATATATAATTATAAAGTCGGGTTTACTGGTATATATAATTATAAAGTCAGGGTTTACTGGTATATATAATTATAGAATCAGGGTTTACTGGTATATATAATTATAAAGTCAGGGTTTACTGGTATATATAATTATAAAGTCAGGGTTTACTGGTATATATAATTATAAAGTCAGGGTTTACTGGTATATATAATTATAAAGTCAGGGTTTACTGGTATATATAATTATAAAGTCAGGGT